GCATCGGTGAGAGCTTCAGTCGGTGCATCAGTCGGCCCATCGGTAGGAGCGTCGGTAGGTGCTTCAGTCGGAGCGTCGGTCGGCGCTTGGGTCGGTGCATCGGTCGGCAAATCAGTTCGTGCATCAGTCGGCGCATCAGTCGGCGCATCGGTGGGAGCATCGGTCGGCGCATCAGTCGGCCCATCGGTAGGAGCTTCGGTCGGCGCATCCGTCGGCGCATCAGTGGGAGCGTCGGTCGGCGCATCAGTCGGCCCCTTGGTGGGAGCATCGGTTGGTGCATCAGTCGGCGCATTGGAGGGAGCTTCAGTCGGAGCATCAGTCGGAGCATCGGTCGGTGCATCAGTTGGTGCATCAGTCGGCGAATCGGTTGGCGCGTCCGTGGGGGCCTCAGTCGGCGCTTCAGTCGTGACATCCGTAGGTGCGTCGGTCGGCGCATCAGTTGGAGCATCAGTGGGAGCGTTCGTGGCCGCATCGGTGGGTGCGTCAGTGTTGTTTGTCGACCCATGTGAAAGCGCTGTACGCGATGTTGTCTCGACACTGTTGATACTGTCGTTGTTGGAGCTCGAGCTCTCGAGGTGTGCTAGATGCAACAGTTAGAGATTCATATCTCGAGTCGGTGTCGCGTACCTTCAATCGCACTCGCCTCAAGGCTCGACTGCTGGATGGCCTGCGACCCCGCTTGGCTCGTTCCAAGCGTGGCGTACGCGCCGACGGCGCAGGCGACCATGAAGGTGACACCAACCGCGGCCGCGACACGGCGCGCCTTGGACGACTTCTTCTTGGGCTTGGCCGCAATCACGACGCGCGTCGGGCCTGCGAGGAACCGGTTCGTCTCTTCGTTCTCGCTGCCGTACGCTGTTCGCATGATGGCAAATTGAAATCTGGATAAGACGGGCGTCGCTGCATTTTGCTGCTCAAAGATCGCACGCAGTTTTGCTGCTCAAAGAAGATCGCAAAATCTTGCGGTTTCGCGCCGCCGGTTACGCGACGGGTCGACCCCTCGTTCCAAGATTCCAGGGAACTGAGCCGCGACACGGAGCCTCTGTTGACAATGCATCAAGGTCGCTCGTTAGTATTAAACGATCCACGCGGCCGTTTCGGTTTTGGCCTCTTGGCTAGGCCGCCTTCTTCTTCGCTGCACGGTCAAAGTCATAGGCGAGCGTCCGACGGGTCGCGTCCTAGTCGAAAATTCTTTATAAGTCCGACTACGGTTTCGTCGCTTGCCTCGAATTTGCCCAGCGGGTGGCCGTGCCAGAAGATCGAGTCGTCGCGCCCGATCAAGTACACGTGTGGCACGGTCGAGATTCCGTGGGCAAGCTGGTAGCCCTTGGTGAGCGCACCACTCTCGGTCGCAATCCCAAACCGAAACTCCTGCAGCGGCGTGAAGTAGCTCGCCTTCGTGCCATGAACCGCGTAGTTGTCCAGCTCGGTCTTGTCCTCCTGCGTGACCGCCACGAACTTGACTAAGACTCTGCATGAGAAGACGCTAGCCTATTCGCGACGTACCCGCGCCGCCGTACTGATCAAACACCTTCTGGAACTCGCGCAGCGCAACGCGCGACGACTTGCACCACGTACCCTAAGGTATTGTCAGTGCGCAAGCAGCTATCCAAACGTACAAAGAAGAGGACGGCAATGACTTCATCTTCGCCCAAGCGCACGCGGGCGCCTTGGTAGTACTCGAGCGAGTCGAGATCATAAGCTAGCATTGCATGAGCCGACACTGCGAGATCATGTACACCTACCAGGCGTGGCTGTCTCGAGGAGGCGTACGGTCGGGTCGTGCTCGATGTAGGACTTGAGGCGGAGCCGGTGGATCAAGACTGAGGCGCCGACGACGCCGACAAAGGCAAAGTCCTTGAGGCTAAAGGCGGCGATCGAACCGACGTAGTAATACGTGAGGAAGCCAGCGCAGCTCATGAGCAGGCAGGCTTGGAGCAGTGGCCCGCCGAGCCAGCCGGCGGCCTGCACGATGGAGCGCAAGAGCATCGTTCCACTTTTTGTCTTTTAGTGTCATATCCACTCATGCAGTAAATAGTGTTAGATAGTCGCCAGACTGCGTTTCGGATAGAACCTGCATCCTGCGTTCAATCCAGACACACATAGCTTGCGCGGGTGACTGCAACCGACGCGGTAGTCTCGATTAACATACACAGGCAGCGGGAAAAGGGCGGACGAGGCTCAGCCTCGAGTCCCGATGGAGGTAACACTAAATCATACGTAACCGGATTCGATCTTTTATCCGGATTCCACGAACCGTCGCGGCTGGCCGATGGCGTACGAGGGCGACGACGACTGCGATGTGCACATGCCGCCGAAAGACTTTGATTTATGCGACCACGAGGACCCAACCGTGGAAGAGACGGCCGTGCTAGGGCTCTCCGAGTACCGCCCAGGTACATGCATCATGTCGGTGATGTACACTGCTCACAACATCGTGCAGCCGAAGCGCCACGGGGCGATGCAGCCGAGCATGCCAAGACCAAGATGGAAGAGTTGTACCTGTACATTCAAACGATCGAGCGAGAGAAGGAAGCACTGGGTCATGACGTGGCAGAGTGGAAGGAGCGTGAGCTCAAGCAGCGGGCGGGCAACGTGGCGTTGACCAAGCGGATCGAAGAGCTCGAGCGCGCGCTAGTCGACACCAGGCAACAAAAAGATGTGCTCTGCCAGCGCGTCTTTGACGCGCAGCCGGCCATGCGGGAGCTTGACGCTGGGCACATACACGTGCTGCAGAGCCAACTCGAGGCGCTGCAGACGTCGCTCGACGATGCAGAGCGAGCGCGGCAGAGCGCCGTCTTCAAGATTAGCGAGCTCTCCATGGGTGGATCGCCCGAAAAATCAACTCAAGACGAGTGGATGAAGCAGTTCAAGCACGACCACGAGCTTCTTCTGCAACGCGCCAAGCTCAATATGGCGCAGCTACAAGAGCGTCACGTTATTGAGATGGACGTTGCTCTGCGCAAGCTCCGCCTTGAGCACGCTTGTGCGATCGAGAAGCTCAAGCTATCGCATGAGATGACGCTGGCCGAGTGGCGCCACGACGAGGCCCAACGCGGCAAAGAGATCGAAAGTGCGATGGAAGCCGACCGGTGCACTGACAATTGATGTCGCTTGCGTCTCACCGCTGCTACTAGCCATAGCACCCGGCTCGAAATCAAGCACCACCTCCAGCACGCACAGATCCATCACCAAGTCGCAATCGGGACGCGTGGGCTGCTTGTGGACGCACCAAGTCCGGACGACGAGCTGGTCGTCCGGCTCGCGCTGGACGGCCTCCGCGCCCGCCGCCTCGACGCTGTGAAGAAGCTGTGCCTGATCCGGCACGCCTTCTGGCGCCACCACCTTCTGCGCCGATGGTATACGTGGCAACATGTCGCTGGCACCGCGACCTACGTGCGGACCGCGGCGCGGCGAACGCTATCGCGTTGCGTCCAGCGGCGGTCAGAGGAAGCCGCTCGCGCGGCATTTCAAACGTGGCGCTTTGCCGCGTCGAGCGCGTCGCAACAAGGGTTACACACCGCCGTGATGCAGCAAGTGCTCTCGGGCGAGCGTATCCTGCGGTGGGTGGTCGCCAGATGGGTAAGCATAAAAGTGGTCGCCAGCTACCCATCGCGTGCAACCCAATCTATTATTCAACGTTGAACTAGCGCCGTCGCGTGCTCGTGGCGTTTTGGACTTGGAAGTCGCACAGCCTCGCCAGGGCCTCCGACGACAGTAGCGCGCTCAAGTCCGAGATCACCAAGCTGCACGACGAGCTCGCCAAGACCAAAGCCGAGACGTGGCGATGCAAGCGGCAGCTGCTCCAGCAATTCAAGCAGTCGGCCATGTAATGCCGTAAGTAGTAGTAACCTAGCAAGCGGCCAACGTGGGATCGCGCTTGCCAGTCACTGCCACCATGGCGCCATGCGCTCGCGCCAGTCGGCATGGGGATGAGCATTGCGGTTGCATCGAAGCGGCGCCGTCCGCTTCGCACATGCACGCAGGTTGCGAGCGACACGTCGGTGCTGCATGGAAGCCACGGCTGCGGCGCTGCTTCTCGTCGCGTGGGCCCCAAATTTGTCACACAATTTGCGGCTGCAACGGCAACGCGCCTTTTGATTGGCTTCTTTTCGTGACCGGGACGGAAATACCGATGATTGGTGGATTTTTGGCCAATAATTGCGTCGAGGTCGAACCTCAGCTGCACGATCATTTTTGAAATTGAGTTACAAGTCGCAAGAAGATCATGGTCTTCTGCGCCCCTAGCAAGTACTTTGGCGCAGCCGACTTCCCACTCGGGCCGGCCGTCGTCCTCGCCGTCCTCATGACCATGGGCGTCTACGACGGCGCGTCGGCGTACCCGGCGATGCCACTCGGCGCGTTCCCGTGGCCTGCCTTCGAGGCCAAGTACGTCCTGGGGTCCGTGCTTGGCTACGGGTCCTACTCGATCGTGCGCGAGGCGACAGACAAAGAGTCGGGCGTTCGCGTTGCTGTCAAGCTCATGGAGAAGGCGGGCATGACGCCCGACGAGATGGCCACCGTGCCCCACGAAGTTCACTTCATGCGCCGCATCAACCACCCGCTCTCGCTACAGCTTCTCGACTTTTTCGAGGATGACGTCTACTTCTACTTGGTCTCGGAGCTCCTCCAAGGCGGCACGCTCTTTGACCGAATCATTACCAAGGATCACTTTTCCGAAGACGGTGCGCGGGCGATCGTGCGCCAACTCGTGCAGGTCATCGAGTGCTGCCACCAGCGTGGTGTCATCCACGGCGACCTCAAGCCCGAGAACGTGCTCATGGTGCACGACCTCAACGAAACCGGCATCAAGGTTGGCGACTACGGGTGCGCATCAACGGTGGCCGACGCGATGGACCCGTCGACGACGCGCTTCTGCGGCACTTTGGCGTACGCAGCCCCCGAGATCCACGACGCCAAGCCGTACGGGACGCCCGTGGACATTTGGAGCATCGGTGTCATTGCGTTCATTCTGCTCTGCGGTAACTTCCCGTTCAGCGACCCGGAGCCGCTGTTGCTGTCGTACAAGGTCACCACCGGCGACTATACGTTCCACGAGAGCGAGTGGCGTCATGTCTCGGATGAAGCCAAGGAGTTCATCGCCGGGCTCCTCTCGGTGGACCCGGCTCGCCGACCGACGGCGACCGCGCTCCTCGCGCACCCGTGGCTCCAGCACGCGACCAAGAAGACGACCGAGCACTCGATGGCATCGCCCGAGATCGTGACGTCGCTGCTCCCAACACCAACGCAGCGCTATCGCAAGTGCAGCAGCGCGGTGCTCGAAGAGCTCCACATGCTCATCGCAGCCATCTCTGCCCGCGACGCGAGCTGCTAATCCCCATTCACCTATTTATACTCGTTAATAAGCCCAGCATGAATGCATGTGGTATCGTTCTGTGAGCGACGCACCCATTGCCGTCAAGTGCCTTCTTCTACAGAACGTAGTAGCCGCGTCCACGACGAGCAGCTCGCCGACGACTCAGAACCAGGGCGAAGAAGACGTGCTGGGACGAGCAAAGACACCGAGCTCTGGCAGCTGCAGGTGACGCGCCGCTGGGTCGACGGTGCGCCGGTTCGATTTCGTGGGTTGGCCGTAGTACTAGCCACCCATGTGCAAGGGTGGAGCAACAGCCAATGTGATATTACAAGACGCCTAGCCTTTGCTGCAGTGATTCATTCGCTCTGCGTCTGCCCACTGCGGTGCCCAAAGTGGCAGCCGCCGAGCTGCCGCCATGCTCAGCCGACGAGAAATTTTGGTCGAGGGCGGCAAAGTGCTGAGGGTGCAAACCTCTGCGTGAGACAACCGTGGGCGTGACCAGCTAATCCATGGCTCCAGCTCATGCTTCCATAACCAATGTTCCGTAGCAGACAGCATCTCTGCTCTGTGCGATTGCTGAAATCATCCAGATTCGAGATTCGCATAAATACACTGTTTTAGACAGCATACCTGAAACACTGTTTTCGACCTCTTGAAATGCATACCGTGTGGTGAGGAGGCTGATTCAGAGCCCATGGAGGTGATCCAAGCGTCCTGGCCGCACGCCACGACCTTGGCCGCATGGCTCGTCGCGTACGACGTCGGTGCATCTTACTGCGTTCTCATGGCGCCGGTGGTCTAGGCACGTCGGCGACCAAGCGTGGATGCACGATGCGACGACGGGCTTGTGCGACTTTCTCTCGACGACGATCGTGGCGCTCGCGACACCAGCGAGCTCGCTGCAAAAGGCAGCGTGGCCATCGACAGTGCACTGCACCCACGTCGAGCTCGTCGACCAAGCGATTGGCATCGCGCTGCAGCGCAAGCGAAAGGACTGGAGGAAGCATCCGAACCTCATTGCTCGCGGGTTCACGACCGGCTACGAAAGCGACGCCAACCATTTCACGCTCCACGCGCACAACGTCATGCACCATAGCCCGAATTCGCTCGTGAGCCTCCTCAAGTCCAAGCACTGGGCGCATCTGCACTGCCACCTCGGTAGAGCGACGTCACCTTCATGCGATGGACGTGAACGTCGACGTAGGCGACGCATGCATGCTGCACTTGCTCGTGGACCACGTTCTCTGCGTTCGCATCGACTCGGACAGCCAGAGCTACATCCAGCTGGCGGGTCCACCGCTCCCGCGCCCGATCCCGTTGGGCAAGCAGTGTAGCGTAGTGAGTCTGGCGCCGAGCCTGTACTACAAGTCCGACCGGCCGCTCACCGCCACGACGTTTCCAGCGACCCACGTATTGTACCTCGCGCCACCGCATACAGCATCAAGCGCACAGGCCACGCGCCTTGTGCAGTCGATCTTTGGCCTGCCACCGACCAAGCGCGAACGGACCCGACTCGCTCGGCCGCTCCGCGCCTGGGTGCCGTGGGCACAAACCATGCTGCGGAACTTCCAAGGACTCAACGTGGAGAAGACGATTGCTCTTGCCTGCCCTTTGGGCGACGCGTGCCGCTTTCAAATGCAACTTTGCACTGGGCAGCCTGCCCCTCGCCTCGTCGGAGGCGCCGGCTACGCTAGCCAAGACGACGTATCGTCCGGTTCTGACGAAGACGACCTCGAAGAGGATGACGGGCCGCCGCCAAAGCGCCAGAAACTCGCGCACCAAGCCGAGATACAGGACCTCTTGCAATTTGCGACGCCCAAGGAGCAGGTACAGGGTTCGATCCTCTCGACAATGCCATTGTTTTTGGTCATGTAGGTGCTCGCGAGCGTGCGTGCTATCACGGCGCAAATTATCCCGATAGCCATGTGGGGTCCGCGGAAGAACTACCAGCACATTGTCCGCCTCCTCCACGCCTACGTTTACGGGCGGCGCTTCGATACGCACTCGATCGAAGCGGTCATTGTCCCGATGCTTCAATCCGATGCTGAATTGGCTGGCGTAGACGGTCCGGCGCATGAGCGTCCAAAGCATTCCGTGGCTCGGCGCGTACGTTGCGCGTCGATACGAGCGTTGGCTCACATGTGGTAGCGCGCGCGTGGGGCCGACCGAAGTGACCAAGCGGCGTCAGCGCCTCGTGCAGTTCGTGCACTGGGTACACCTCCACGCCTCTCGACGCGGTCTCATGGCGTCTAGATGTGGCGTGAGCTCGTCCAGCCGATTGTGCGCACCAACTTTTACATGACGACCAAGGAAGGGCAGTTCCACGACGTCCTCTACTACCGCCGCCCGCTCTGGGACGTCGTTTCGTACGTGGCGTGGACGTGCTGTAGCACATGCGATTGATCGTAGGCAGTTGGCGACGCGGGATTTGCAGCGGCATCTGCTTCGCCCGGTCGCGACGCCGACGACACCCGTGGCCCGCGTGCGCTTTGTGCCCAAGGCGCGGGGCGTCCGGCCGATCGTCAACCTCTCCAAGCGCGTGTCGTTCCAAAAATCGACCAACGACCTCCTTCAGAGCGCCCTGCGCGTCTTGAAACACGAGCTCTCGCAGCGCCAGCGCTTGCTCGGGGCAAGTGCCACGAACATGAACGCGGTGCTGGCCAAGCTCTCGGCCTTCAAGGCGCAGTGGGTCGCAGCGGGCAAGCCCCACGTGTACTTTGTGACGCTCGATGTCGAGCGCTGCTTTGACACGATGAAGCCCAAGCGACTGCTACAGCTTCTCCCGTCGCTCCTGACCCAAGAGTCGTACCTCGTCCGGCACCACCGCGTCGTGCGAGGCGACCGGTCGCATGTACGCACCCCCACCGTGCGTTCATGCTGGATGCTCCGCGTAGGCGGAATACCTGGTCGTCGCGGCGGGGGACTACACGCGCTTTGAGCACCTCATTGCGTCGCGAGGCCTGAAGCGCAACGCGGTACGACGACGCTCAGCGTGGCGCGGAATGTCGCACGAGTGGTTAGGTGTACGTCGACGGTGTCGTGTACGACGTCATCTCGCGCGCCGACATTCTCTCGCTTCTCAAGACGCACTTGCTCGAGCACGATGTGCGCATTGGCCGCCAGACGTATCGCCAAGTCGAGGTGCTCAGTCAACAATGTGTTGCATATCGAAGTTGGCATGGTAGGGCATTCCGCAAGGCTCGGTGCTTTCGTCGCTCCTCTGCAACCTCTACTACGCTGACTTTGAGAAGCAAGTGCTGCAGACCCAACTGCGCTTCGCAAAGAACGATCTGCTCTTGCGCTACACGGACGATTTTTGCTTCCTCACGACGTCGCGCGTCCATGCCACGACGTTTCTGCGCCTCATGATCAAAGGGTCGCGCGCGTTTGGGTGCAGCACCAACGCCGCCAAGACACTTACCAACGTCGAGGGACCCGGCGCCCCGCTTCTCAAGTGGTGTGGCCTCGTCATCGACCCCACCACGATGCAAGTACACGCCAACTACGCCAAGCTGCTGCGTGCGGGCCCGGATACGTAGGCGTCCGTTGACCTGTTGACACTTGACGATGCAGCGTAGCCCGGCGCCGTTGGACCACGCTTTGGCGCTCCCGCGACACAAGCCGCTGCGAGACTGGTTTATCCGACGCGTTCTCTCGACCAACATCGACAAGTGCCATGCCATGTACTTTGGCCGTCGCCTCAACTCCCGCGCCGCCATCGAGGTGCCACCACAGCAGCGTCGACGCCGTTTGACCTTGCGGTAGGTGAATGCGTACCAGCTGCTGCGGGTCGTAGCCGCCAAGACCATGCACCTCGTTCGTGCGCTGCGTCTTTGCAACATGCTCTACGTCGCCGCACGCCTCGACGCTGCGTGGAGGCTCGTGCACCGCACGATTCAACGCGCCACCAACGGCGACTGCCCGCTCACGCTCTCGGAGGTTCGTTCGTCCTCCTGTCTCTGCTCGACGAAACGCGTGGTAGATGCGTCATATCGGCTTTGCGACTGCAGTCGACGCGAGCGCGGCGTGTCCGTATACCCATGCGCTCACGCCCCTGCTGCAGCGGCGCGCAAAGCGCCTGCCGTCAACGCCGATGGATCTCGCTGCGCTGCGCGCTGACCCGCGCAACGCCTTTGCGACGCGCTTGTAAGCTCCGTGGCCTTGGGAATGAATTGCGGTTTAGGACGATTGGACGATCTCGTGGCACAAGTCCGAAGGGACGTCGCCGGCGTTGTTGGCAGCGCTCACCATCCACGGACGCGTGGCGACGAGGAAGGACGCGACATCGAGTCGGCCAAAGCGAGCGGCTTCGTGCAGCAGCGTCTCGCCGTGGGCGTCTATATCGTCTGTCGCGAACGCTTCAACAATGCTGATGTGGCCGGCGCGGGCCGCCGCCATGGCGAAATGGCGCTGGTGATAGTCGCGCACCGAGGCCAGCGCCGGGTCGAGGGCGATGACCGCGCGAAGAAGGTCGAGGTGCCCGCACTCGGCCGCGCGGTGCAGTATCGTTTGGTCGCCTGGTCCGCGCACATGCAGCGACGTTGCGGAGTGCGCATGCAGAGCCACTAGCACCTACAACCCCGTCATCGGATCACTCGCATTGATCGTTGGAAGTACCTCGGTATGGTTGTGGGACGCTGCAAAGTACGCGGGCGACCAGCGCTTCTTGGACGCGACGCACGGGTTGGCACCCGCCTCGAGCAACTGCTGCAGCACTTGCACGTGGCCGAACCGTGCGGCTTGCGACAGCGGACTCGTGCCGTCGTCGTCGCATTGATTCGGGTCGGCGTGCTGCGTCAGTAGGAACGCGACGACCGCCGACTGGTCGTAGCCGCACGCAAAGAAGAGCGGGGTCTTGCCCTTCTCATCGCGCACGTCGAGGTCGCCGCCGTCGGCTGCAAACGCTTGGAGCGACGGCAGATCGCCGACCCACGCGGCGCGCCACACATCGAACGGACGCTGGCTGCGGGCGATGCGCCACTCGAGCAACCGCGCCACCGCCCACGCGCTCGTCGTCGGTATATTCTCGGCCCTTGCAATCGGTAGCGGCGCGCGCGCACCGGCTTGTTCAAGCACGAGGAGGCTGCGGGACCAATGCGCATCGTCCTTGCCAGTCACCCCTTGCGCGATGCTCGCACAGAGGCGCAGATTGGTCGGTGCGAGGACGGTCGCGAGGTAGGCGCCAAGGTCGGCGTCGCCCGCGACGCACACGTAGCAGACGAGGCGGCCTTGGGGAGCCAAGCGGCGCGCGGCGAGCGCGATTAGCGGCTGGAGGAGCTGGTTCTCGAGCCCGTTGTCGCCTGCAGTGCCAAACGTGCGAATGTTGTACGGCGGGTCGCACACGATCGCGTCGACGACGAGGTTCGGACGCCACATGTCGTGCCGGACGTCGTGGAGGCAACGCTCGGGGGGCGCAAATGCAAACTCGCCAAAGTTGGCGGCCATGTCGCGACCGGGCCCGTCGCCTTGGAGCGACCGAAAGCTCACGTCGTGGGCGAGGCCGAGCCCTAATCAACGTCAAAGACGCATGCTACCAAGTCCGTACCGATGCCAAAATGAGCGCACGCGAGGAGGATGCCACCCGAGCCTGCAAAGGGATCGACGACCCAGTCGCCGGGACGAACCTGCGCGAGGTTGGCCATGACGAGCGCGAGCTCCGGGTCCATGGTCGTGACTCCCGTGTACGGCCGCTTGTGGAGCGCGTACGTGGCAGCCAGGCCACTGCCGACGCGGCCACCGTGACCACCGCTTGTTGGAGAGAGGCCGTGGCCAACGAGACGACTCAATAGCGCGCGGCCATCGTCTTCGATGAGAACGCAAAGATGGGTCGACGCTGGCAGCGCCTGCGCCGTGAGGAAGCTCTCGACGTCGAACAAGGCGAGGCGACCCAGCACAGCACGCTTGTCTTTCGGGCCACGCAGGCGTTTCTTTGGCATTTTGACGTCGACGGTCGTCGCAGGTGGGCGTGCAAAGCAGTGCGCTTCGAGCTGCGTCGCCAGCGCCGCCACCGACACCTGCAATGCGAGGACTTCGTACGCTGCTTGGATCAAGACGCAGCGGGCGACGATGCACTTGGCCATGGTCTACGAGACATGGATGCATGCGAGGCTCTGACGAAGAGTCGATACCTCGGAGCTAAAGTCGACGCGGAAGAAGCGGGCTTGCAGCGAGGGCTCGTTGTGGATGTGCACTACTCGAGAAGGAAAGGTCAGGAAGCGCGCCGCCTTACTGCGGTAGCTCACAGTTGGTCTCGCCATAGAGCCCAGCGATAGCACGGAGCTCTTCCGTGACAAGCTCGAGGTGGCGCCCGAGGGCCAAGCAATGCGCCCGCATCGTGTCAAGTTCAACGCTGCGCCAGCCATAATCCGATCCTTTGTCTGCAACTCAATTCCGTTGCTATTGAGAAATCCAAGTGTATGCACAAATACCTCTAAAAACTCAAAACTCAATCCCAAAAGCAGCAATTAATTGATGTTGTGTGGTACGTATTCCGGATATGCTATCCGTAATTCGGACGCGAGGGATGGAAATAAAATACAATAAACAGTTTACGTGGCGAAACACACGCCGCTCCACAAGACTCGGCGGAATAAAAATACGCGTGGAATTGCGGTTGCCTCAGTACGAATTAGCGGGCATGCGACGCCACTCGTTGTACCAGCAGCGGGTCAAGCTCACGGACAAGTACAAGCTCATCGGGAAGATCGGCGAGGGGACGTATGGCCTCGTGTACAAGGCCGAGCTCCAGGCGCGGGACAGCCGCATGGACGACGACGAGCAGAGCTTTGCCGTCAAGATGATCAAGTCGCATAAGGAGGGCAAGAACGACGTCGTGCTCTCGATCGCGACCGTGCGCGAGATCAAGATCCTGCGCGAGATGCACCACGACAACGTCGTCCACCTCCACGATGTGCATGTCGATCCGCGGGGCACGAGCCTCGCGCTCGTCTTCGACTACGCGGACCACGACCTGCGCGATATCATCATCCAGAGCAAGCAAAAGCCGCTTTCCGAGTACACGAAGAAGTCGTTCATGCACCAGATCCTCAAGGGCGTCAAGTACATGCACGACAATTGGGTCATGCACCGCGATATGAAGCCCCAGAACATCCTCGTCGTCGGCCACGGGCGGCGCCGCGGCCAAGTCAAGCTCGCCGGTCCGACGCGCCAGGCCATGCCCATTTTCTCATCCATCGATGGTCGTAGATTTCGGCCTTGCGCGGATATACAAGGACCCGATCAAGGCGCTCACGGACGTCGAGCGCGTCGTCGTGACGTTGTGGTACCGCGCGCCCGAGCTCCTCCTCGGCGCCAAGCACTACACCAAAGCCGTCGACATGTGGGCGGTCGGGTGCATCTTTGCCGAGATCCTCAACACGCGCGAGCTCTTTTGCGGCAAGGAGGCCGAGGGCACGAACGCGCCGTTCCAGAAAGATCAGTGCGACAAGATCTTCAAGATCATGGGCATGCCGACGCCGCAGACGTGGGACGGGCTCGAGTGCCTCCCCGAGTACGAGAACATGATGCAGATGTGCAAGGAGCGCGACTACGGCACGACGTCCAAGCTCCACGACTTCGTCAAGTTTGGCACTGGCCACTCGTCGGTGCTCTTGCGCGACCTCATCTCGCGCATGCTCCACTACGGTACAGTAGAACGGCGAGACGACCATCCACGTTGATACTTGCGATATGGTAGACCCGGAGAAGCGCATCACGGCAGCCGAGGCCCTCACGCACGACTACTTCAAATGCGTACGTCGTAGATCTTTGGGTACAAGTTGGGACGTGGGAGTGTAGGAGCCGTACCCGCGCGACTGGGCGCTCGACGAGCCCAACAAGGAGCCCATCGTCTTTCTCAAGCAAAAGATTGAGCCTATCACGGAAGACATGCTCCCGAACCGCAAGTCGCCCGCGCACCATGACGCCAAGGACGACGACGAGGGTACGACTCCGTGATCGGAATGGCTTGCCTCTCACCACTCGTGTGCAGCCCGCCGTGCGATGCGACCGAACGGCCAAGTGCCGCCCGGCATGAAGCGCCCCGAGCCACCGGCGGGGATGGTGCCGCCGCCCAACCACAGCGGTCGCCAGTGGAGCGGCCCGCCGCCGCCAGGGTACAATGCCAACCCGGTCGCCAAGCGTCCGTCGGGATCGCTGGCGCCCAACCCGCGCAGTCCCAAGCAGCGGCGCCGATGAACGCAAGGTTGGTGGTCATCATCATAATATCCCTCTAAATAATCGTTACTACTTACACGGTGCTGGCGTTTGGCGCGACATCCATCTTGAGACTCAAACGGCCCGTGATCTCGCCCATGTGACGGCCGCCGCTTGTCAGAACAGCTTGGAAGTCCACTTTGCGACCGCGACGGTGCTGCGCCGGGACGACGCCGATGACGCACTGCCCAATGCTGTAGCCCGTCGACGACGAAGACTGGAAGTTGAGGGCGAGGTGCATGTGCTTCTTGGGCAAGAGCACCGCCGACTGCTTCACTCCCGTGGCTTCAAACTGCTTGAGCGTTGTTGTTTGGCACGCGCTTCGAACCGCCGGACAGAGGTACCCCGAGTGGAACGTCAACTGCTCCGCGAGCTCGTTGAGCTAGAAAGCACAGACATCGAGTCGTGTCCAGGAGCAGAGACATCGTGTACCTCGCGCGACTCGGCAAAGTCGTCTTCGCTCGGCAACGGAAAAAGACTGCGGACGACAATCGGTCCTACGGTTCGCTTGAGTCCTTGATCAATAGGGCAAGGGTTGAATCAAGGTACCTCGGTGGGTCTTGGTCGTGCTCGAGGTGCCCATCGACGACGCCCAAGTCGATGACATCATGGACGAGTGCGGCAGCGGGCCCAGTGGCGACGCCGTGAGACTCGGCGACTCGTCGTCTTCGTCCACATCGGGCGACGGCGGCAAGAGCATCGTCTCCAGCGGCGACGCCCACGTAATGTGCACGTTGGAGACCGACACGGTGCACTTCTTCACAACCATCTGCGCATCACGCTCCATGAGCCCAAGATCAACGCAAGCGGGCGAGTCTTACGTCGTCCGTGCGTGGTGACTTTTCGATGGCGACATGGAAAATGCTCGCGACAGGCTTGTGGTCCGACGTGGTCACGTCTTCGCAGCTAAAGTACTTGACACACCGGACCTTGTCTTGGAGGTCGGGGAGCGAGTGGTACAAGATGCGGTCCGTGTACGACGGGACGCGGAGGCCGCCGTCCGAGAGGATCGTCGTGTAGAGCTCCTGCAAGTCGCGAATGTTGAGCCGCCGGTTGGTGGGCAGCTGCGTGCCCAGCGCCCGTCGGAACGTCGGTGCAAAGGTAATCATGGCTTCGGAAAAGCCCGCAAAAGCCGCGCCCGTCTGCAGCGCCGCGACCAACTCGTCGTGCTGGAGGAGGAGCGTCCAGTTGGCGTCCTTGGCATACCGGTTGATGGCGCGGACGGGGCTTTTGAAGCCGTCGTGCTCGGCGAGCGTCATGTCGTCCAGAAGCACCGTGTCGTTGCCCGGCGACGTCGTCACGCCGTACGTCATGCCATCCGAATCGTACAGGTCTACTACGCTTGCTTGAATCTCTACGCAAATCAAAAGATTCGATCGTACCCCGGGGCGGGTCGAGCATGAGACGCCGGTTGATGATGGTCACCATGAGCTTGAGCACGTCGGTGGGCGTCGCTTGCTGCGCCGTGAGGCGGTAGTTGAGGTCGCCCATGAAGATCGTGTGGTGCACCATGTGCTGGAAGTCAAACTCAACGCCCATCGACTGGAGATTCATGCTACGAAGGATGCTCGCCGCGTCCTTGTGCCGCTTCTTCATCTTGCTCTTGCCCTAAAAAACTGGGTCGGAGATACGAACCTAGGGGACAAAAGTACCGAAGAGTCGGACGCCAAGTGGCAGCTCGCGACCGCAAACGTCGTGTCAAAGTACCGAAACGCAAAGCCGACCGCGCCCTTGTTGGACGCGCGGCCCATGCCAATGAGGCTCTTGCCCCGGTGAACCTTGGACATGCCGTCGAGGAACATCTCAAAGCGACCGCACTCGACATCACTCGTCGCGACGTAGACCGCGATCGCAATGTAACCCTAATCTCTCCGTCTTGAGACATGACGCATTTGGACTTGTAGCGTACGTGGTAGCCAAGGGTGGTTTGCTTGCTTCCGATCTCGCGGTGATACGCAGTGTAGCGCTGGTTGTTGGTCGTTTCGAGGTGCGTCAGCAACTCGGACCGCGTCTCGTCCAGCGCCAAGCACTCTTGCAGGCCGATGACGTACACGTCGTGCCCGCGCGGGATCCACGCCGCCTACGCGAAATGAGCCCACGTGGATATTTCGTACGACGTACCAACGCCGCTCGGGTCGGTACGGCACCCTCGGCCATGTTGAACGTGGACGCATAGATCGAGACGCGGTCGCACACATCGAACGGCGTGTAGTGCGACATGTTGGATTGCGTGTCCTCCATGACAACGCTCGGCGAGGCCAGTCCCAGGAACGAGTCGGACGTCGGGCGCGGCTGGCGCTTGCAGCCGAGCGAGAGAAAGCCGCCGAAAATGACGGCGTTCACAAAGCCCTGGAGGTTGATGAGCGTTTGCGCAAACACGCCAAAGGTCGGCACGATCTGCATGCAAAAGGTGGGCGCCTTGTAGTATGAAGCGTCGCACGCCGCGTCGCTGACTAAGCCATATACGTCAGCCTTGGTGGAACATGGACGAGACGACGGACTTCGATAGACAGATATTGGGAGGTACAGGACGAGGAAGCTCATCACATAGAGGTAGAGCTGGCGCTGGATGACCAAGAGCGCATGCTCCGTTTGCTGGTAGTTTGTTCTACCGTACGAATATGAGTGTCAAGCATGGCGCATCGAAGGCTCGCCGTACCCCGCAGCGCGCTGCCGAATGACGCTGCGCACCTTGACGAGCACGCCGACCATGAAGATAATGGCAGCAAATACAAACGTATAGAAGTGATACAAGGCCGTGTCGGGATCTGCGATCCAGCAAAAGAACGTAGACGGGCCAAGGAGCGACTGGTGGACCAAGGCATCCCCAGCGTTGTGGCGACGGCGGAGATGGTACACGGGCAGCGCGAGCCAGAAGGTCCAGCCAAGGCAGAAGAAGGCGGTGGCGAAAAAGTACCACGGGTACCGCCGTCGCATCTTCTCCTGTGTGTCCCGGTACACGACCCAGCGCAGGAGGTTGAACGCCATGATCGCATTCCACAGGACAACTAGAGATAGCAGCATGAGTCCTCGGTTGTGATCGCCAGGGATGCTACCGTGCGTCGAGAGAAAGTCGATGAAGAAGCCTTGGACCTGGCACGAAAGGTACGTCGGCGCGCTCTTCGGGTCTGTCCGGTTCCGAGAGTAGGTGAACGATGTGGCTGGGAACTTGGCGACAGCGGTCCAGAGGTCGACAGCGGCCAGCGTCGCGACAAGCATCGTCGTAATGTCTCGCGTCGCACCGGTCTTGTGCCGAAAGAACCGGTACAAGATATAGGCGCAGCCAACGAACGAGAGGACGCTAATAAGAACTGAGTGCGGGAAGATCGCGATGGCAGCATGTACGCACCTCGAGACCTGGATGAGCACATCGTTGAGGTCGCGCAGGTACGACGGCGCTGCGAATTTGATGCGCCGGTTGTCATCGGTCGAGCCATTGCGTCCGCGCAGATGGGCTCCGGACGACCCCGACATGTCGAGAATGGTCAGCGGGACACCCGAGTGGGTATCGCGCCTTGCGCAAGGTTGCAAAAAAGCTGAACCCACGCCTAATTAGGACATCTTTAAATCATGAATTTTAATTTCATCTCGATATATGTATGTAGGGCGATCGAAAACGCGTTGGGGTGGAACAGCCATGTGCGTGTCAGGACTTGTCCTACCGGAACAAAATGTAAGGTGTGACAGGCGCGGCTACAGACACGCCATTCTTCCCAGTCCCGCCACAATTGCCAAGTGCCGAGGAGCCACCACAACGCGCGATGACGCTGCATTCCTCAATTATTTGCATGTATTATGGGAAACCGATACGAGTGGTCCTTTTCAATGGCGCTAGTGGCGTGCTACACTGGGCGGAACGGCAAGTTTGCGTGATTCTAGCGGCGGCGTCCAGCGAGGCTGTCGACTTTGGTCCCGGTCGGCGAAGCCAAAACAACTAAAAAAGTTCAGCGGCCGAGATGCCAGATCAAGAATGGCGGCGCACTGACCACAAATCCCTGTGCCGCGTCGGCGGAGTAGCTGCAGCGTACGCTGGACTCTTGGCTCAGTAGTACACGCAACCCACGCCGCGTTCCTCGAGGATCATGACGCTGTATCAACGCGGCTCCACGCTGCAGTGCAATCCAATCTGAGATGGATGAGCATATGCGACGGTCGATGGATTCAAATTGCATCACTCGTCAGTCGCCCAGCTCCCTCGCACAGTACACTCCGGTCGTTTGAAGCCGCTCGCAGTTTATAGAACTTCTACTACATTAGTCGTTTATTGCCAGCTCAAGGAAACAGGCAGGTCCTCGACCTCGTCATCGCTCGCGAACGTGTCGCGAGAGCGGCGAGGATTACAACACGTCCGCATTCGTCATGATGTTACGCTAGCGATCAGCTCATCATGCAAGGGCGGACATTCCATTTCCGGAAGGACCCAATCGGTGCGGATTGGCTAAAATCCAGGCAAATTTCTACCAATGCGCTCTCGCGTAACACTTCAGGCGCTACACGATGGAGCTCCCAACGGACGACATCCGCTTCCAGATCGAGCTCGAGTTCATCCAGTGCTTGGCGAGCCCGTCGTACCTCAACCGTGCTGCTGCGTCTACCTAGGCGGAGGCTCATGCTGGTGTAGACCTCGCGATCAACCGATACTTTGAGGACCCGGTCTTCCTCAACTACCTCACGTACTTGAAGTACTGGAAGAAGCCCGAGTACGCCAAGTACATCAAGTACGCTCGCGCTTCCCGCCATGACGCTCATACGACCCTGCGTAGCTACCCACATGCGCTCACGTTCCTCGACCTGCTCGACGACGAAAAGTTCCGCCAGGTAGACTGCAAGCATGCACCACGCCTCATCTCGTCCATATAGATGATCGCGCACGACAGCTTCCGCGACATGGTCCATGCGCAGCAAGGCCTCCATTGGCTTCACTTCCTCAACAACCGGCAGAAGGAGGGCGCGACGCCCGTGGACGCGACGATGGAGTAGGACGAGTGGTCGCGGCCACGATTTTTAATCCGTGACCAATGCAATTCATTGGGCCACTGTATCCGACTTGAATTTGGCTTCAATAAAATTACGACGCCGCATGATGGACGAGACAGCCACGCCGCAGCCCGGACGGCTGCTACCCGAGGCTCCGACGCCTATGCTGGCCCGCAAGTCGTCGGACCCAACGGGCCTCGTGACGTCGCCGCGGCGCCGACGTGTTCCGCGGAGCAGCAAGCGAGCGCTCTTCTCCCCCGAGACGCCCATTGCGTTGAAGCGCTGCTCCGACCTGGTCAACGACGAGAACGCGTACGAGCATGGGCCGGCGCGAAAGGCGCCACGCCGGCTTGCGCTGTTGAGTGGCGATGAGATAGCGAGTCCTTCACATCCCAAGTTTGCACGCTGCAACTCGGCGCCAGTGCTGCACGGTGTACCTTTCAAGCCGTACGAGCCGAAGCTGCCAACAGTCCGATCGTCGCAGCATCCTGACCTGCACGTCATTTCGCCAACCACCGTACGTTGCATATAGCTAGCCGAGCGGGGTGCTCACAGGGGACGTATGCAGGCGCTTGAGGTGTTGCAAGGCGTCCTCCCAGCCTCGTTACAAGGCGCTCGCTTCTTCGACTGCCGCTTTACGTACGAATATGAAGGCGGGCGACTTCGAGGTGCCACGTCATTGCCATCGCCAGACGATGTTGAGCACGTCTTCTTTGCGCCGTCGCTCGCGCAATCGACGACAACCGCGCTCATCTTTTACTGCGAGTTTTCCGCGAAACGAGCGCCCGAAATGTAGGCCATGTCTCGTAACCATGCGTCATGTGCTCCGTAGGATGCGGCACATACGGCGCCGCGACCGCTGCCTCCACGCTGCCACGTACCCCGAGCTGTTGTACCCGGAAATGTACTTGATCGACGGAGGCTACAAGCACTGCTTCGCGTCGGCACTGGTATCGAGATCTCATGTCGCTTGATGTTCACTCATTTGCTACACAGGCTGTGTGTGACCCGCCCACGTACACGTCCATGAACGACCCAGCGCACGCCGAGAGTGGCAAGGCGGCGATGCAGCTCCTGCGCCAGCGCTGGAAGGCCCACCAGTCGCCCGCCAGTCTCCGGGTCGTAGGCCATCATGGGCAGCATCGAGACCAGTAGAATGAACATACGCTGTCGAGTCGTGTCTGGCGACACTCGTTTATTACTCCCATTGGCCCCAGTCGTCGCTCGCCGACTTGGCCGCCGGCGCGGGCTCGTTGTCGTCGCCCCAATCGAGCACTTCTTCGTCCGCGAGCACAATCGCGGCTGCTTCCGGCGCCTTCTTGGTCTCATCGACATCGATCCAATCGTCCGAGTGGTGGGACGTCACCGGCGTCGTCTTGGTCTCTACCCAGCAACGCTCACGCGGTACGTTCTTAGAATGCTACAGGGTACCGGAGGCCGACTGTGGCGCAGCTGCTACAGAGAACTTGAGTTTTACGAGGTGGGATACAGTGCTCGTACGCTCTTTTTTGGCCGCCGCTGTCGTGGGGCTCGCGAGCGGCGAGTCGACGTCCCAGCCAATCTCTTCTTCGTCCCCGCTCGCGCCGGCCACTACGCAGCATGAGCAAGGAAGGTGACCAGTCTCCGATCACAGACCCTTTTGCAATAGCTGGGCGCTACGCTGCTCTTGGGCTGCAAGACGCGACGCCTTGTAGAGGTAATGGCCCCAAAACGCGTCCTCCGAGACCATTTCCGGCACTAGATGACTGTGAGACGTCGGAGGTCGCTTTCAACGAGTGCGACCGAGTTCTTGGCGCTTGGCGTCGACAGTCGGGTAATGCTCAACGACCTCAGCGCACAGCGCCGCCCAGTCGTCGTCCGAAATGGCTTCTCGCCACTTCTACAGAGCACGTCAGGCAAAGGGCGAGTTGCGCTGCGGACCGTGTAGGCGTCGGCGTTGGTTGGCGGCTCGACGTACGTTTCGTCTGCGTTCTGCATCGCCGAGAGTCGGAAGCGGCGAGCACTGTAGTCGCAGTGAGCCCATGCAAGGAAGATGCAGCGGTTGCTTACCTCGCGGCTTCGTCCAGCGGCTCGTCGGCCGCCGTGTCGTTGGTTTCGTCGCCGGCAAAGCCACCGATAAACTCATCCGCACTGCAGAAACGGATGACGCATGTACTGCAGTCGTTGCTATACCTTGTAAGCAGCTTGGAGCCAACCGACTCGAGCGTGGCCCCAAACGCAAAAAGCGACGCGGTCACCGTGGCTTGGAGCTCGCGCGCTTTGTTGCTGTCCGCTGGCGCCGCTTCGTCCGTCGATTCAGCGGCAGGCTTCGACTCCATCGTTTCCTCAACCTTCTTCTTTACTTGCTTGGCCACCTCGGCAACGTCCTAGGCGCAGAAGCTAAGGCCAGAGAACAGTTGCAGCGTGCGCGTACGCCCTGGACGGTCGTTGAAAACTCCTGGAGGTCCGAGCTCAAGGTCGAAATGGCCTTAGCCGACTACATCACTGATGCGTTAGCCCCGATTGGCTCGCATGCAGCGTCTACCTTGTCCTTGACCGCCGAGACGAGCGAGTAGAAGCTGTACGATGCCATGCTCGCGTCGCTTCTCGCCAAAAGTGAAAGAGAATTGCTCCGCAATGCGGGGGCAACCGTCTTTTCTCTAGCTAATTGCACGCAACCCCACTCTCACCACAGTCCTAATAGCGCATTTTTCAGTGTCGAAGTGTACAAACAAGGCGAACGAGCACAGAGCAGGCTTTTTTTCATCAGATCAATTGTGTATGCGGCGTGCGCTGCGGCGAGGGCGCGAAAAAAACTTGGGACGTGCCACCTCTCTTATCTTATTGATACAAACATAATATTCAGTTGCGTGCGAATAGCCAGACGAAATCGCCGCACGCGGCAACGAATAAAATAATTCAATTGATGGGTCCACCGAAGGGAATCATGGCACCGCTGCCCCCAAGCCTCCCCGTGCTCCTCACCGTCAAGGCCGGGCAGCGCGACAAGAGCCGCAAAACCGTTGCGACGTACGAGTTTGAGCACGTCCTCGAGGAGGGCTTCAACGTGCTCTTCTCCAAGGCGGCCAACTACCTGGACCGCGCAGTCGTGACGCACAACGAGAGCCCGAACCCGCCGTCACAGGGCAAGGCCAAGCTCGTCAAGATTCCGAGCGTGGTCAAAGTGTTTCTGAAAACGAGCACGAACGCGACGCAGAAGGAGTACGTCTGCATTGAGATCGGCAACTACATGGCGGCGATCACGTCAGCGTGGAACAATGCGTCGGTCCGTCGTGGCGGCCAAACCGCGTACAAGCTCGAGCTCTTCGTCTACCTCAAGCGAAGAGACGGTAGCGACATCGACGGTCTCGAGGGCGTGCCCAAGGCCGAGCCAGCGCGCGTCCTCCAGGTACCGCCGACATCGTCGTACGAGGCGACGTTTGCCGAGGCGCCCATGGTGCCGGTTCTATTGCCGAGCGACGCGCGGCCGACGTCTGCACCCGTGCGACCGAGCAGCGTGTCGGTGTACCGTCCGCTGGACTTTTTGATCAACGGGCAGGTTGTGCCCATGCTCGTCAACGTCGAGCAGCTCCGCAGCTTGCTCGCCGAGCCGCCGCAGCCACAGTAGACACAAGGACGTGGGTATATTCATTCAAAACTACTAGTATTGGAGCGACTTTCGCAGCTCCGACTTGAGCTGTTGCAGTGGATTGTTGGGCGACGCCTTCCCGTAGTTGGCGCTGGGCGTCAGGCGGGTCGGCGGCGGGGGCAGGAGACCCCCGGACGTAGGCGGATACGCCGACTGCGCTGCGTACGCCGACTGCGGTGCGTACGACGCTGTCTGCTGCCACTGCGCCGGGGGGGGCGACGGGCGATACCCAAATGGCGCGGGGCGGCCATACCCATCGCGCGGCGCTTCGGCGTAGTAGGGCGGTGCGTCGCCAAAGATGGGCTCGCGCTTCTTGTCTTCGACGGGCTCCCGCTTGATGTCACCGTAGCCGCCTCGCTGTTTGGGGGCCTGGTACCCCCCGTTGCCTTCGTGGGCCTTCGTATCACCGTGGTACCCGCGGTACGACGACGACGACGATGGCGAGACTCCATAGCCCGACATGCTCGGTGGCGCGTAGTGCGGCTACGTGTCGGAAAGGGTAAGGCATCGAGCCGTCGACAGCGTTCGTTACCTTGGGCGCGGACGGTCCTCCTTGGTGCGGCGATGTCTCGGACTTGCTGCCGTAGTCGCGCTGGCCATACCGAGACGCGACAGCCACTGGCGGCGGGCGGCGATCGTTCATGTGGTTGTTTCCATGGTTGTGCTGCTGACTCGATGCCATCGATGCCGACGACGGTGCGTTGCTGCGGTAGGGATCGGCACGCGGCGGCGCACTCGGTCGCGGTTGGAACCGACTGGTGGTGCTCGGGCTCGGAAGGATGCTGGTGGCCGGTTGCGTCGGCGGCGTTCCGAGAAGCGCTGTTGAGGTGGGCAGCACGACGGGCTTGGGCTTGTGGGCCGACGACGTCTTGAGCACGACCCTCTCGTGGTGCTGGACCATGTCGTAGTAGGTCCCAATTTGGGGATGGAGCACTTTGAGGAGGGCTTGGGCCGCATATTGCTTGGCGAGTTTCTTGTTGGGCGCGACTGCCTACGAGAGGACGCTGGGTACCGCCGACGCCAGCCAAACGCACCTCGGCCGAGTGCTTGCCCGTCGACGCGACGACCTTGAACTTGTTGCGGTCGGTCGCAAACGGGACGTTGAAATGCGTGTAGTTGATCGCGATACCCTTGTGACGTGTCGCGTACTCCGAGAGAAGCTGCGCCGGCGTCTTGACGCTGAGGTCCATGCAGCCTTGGAGCACGAGCCGGTCGTCGATCAGTAAAGGCTGGAAACGGTCCAGCGTCTAGCCCAAGGATTTATAAATCCTAGCGTACGCAGAGGTGCGTACAAAGGTCGGCGCTGCCGAGAGCTCGGCGGCCATCGTGTCGACTTCGTGCGTCGCACCGCCGCTCTTGAGCGTGCGCCAGTAGCCTGGTACAAGCGTCTCGAGCGCCGCTTCGGCTGCCTTCTGTCGCGCGAGCTGCTTGGAGGACGCGTCGGCGAGGCCGTACTCTCGGCCGCCAATCGCCACGCTGCACCGGAACGGCGCGTCACTACCTGTGACGACATAAGCCGTGAGCTACGAAGGCGAGTACGAACTGGTCGAGTTGGTCTGCTCGTACTCTGGGATCGCATCCACCCAGTTCTTTGCATAGTCCTACACACAGTCGTCATGCTCGTATCCACGGGACGTTGTTGTAATACGAGTAAGAAGGCCATCGCTGTCTTCCCCGTCGGCTCGTCGACCGTGACGCCGTTGAGAACGATCTTGGGCCTACCGCTCTTGGCTTCTTGCTTTGTCGGGCGGCGCGGCGGTGACGGCGTCGACGCGCCATTCTGGTGATTGGCCTTGAGCCTCTTGCGCGGGTCCAAACTCGGCTACGCGATGGCGCATGAGGCGGCGATGCAAATGCGCATGAGTACCTGCTCGGTGGGTTTCGGAGCCGGCGCCGGATTCGGGGTTACAGTTGGCTCCCGGTCGCCAAGAACTGTTTTGCTGAGGCGCCGAATGATAGCTACGGAGGATGATGAGGGCTGGGCGACACTCGTCGCATGCGTACCGTCGGCTTGGACCATCTTCACCGGGCGATTGCGATCTGGATGGCGCATGCCGCAGCCGGACGCAAAGATGTCGAGCGGAGGCACGTGTGTCGCTGCGGCTGTGCTAACGCTGGCTGCGTCACTAAGTTCGACGACATAAGGCTCGGTCCACGTCACGACGCCGGAGGCTTCGTGCAGGAAGCAGGTCAGGCCCGATCGGTGTGAAACCTTCTTCCATCCTTCCGGTAGCGCCTTGTCCGTGTACGTAGTCGACTCGACGAACGTCGAGTCCTCAGTAGCCTGCACGTCGAGCGGGCGCTTGGTCATCAGCTCACCGCCACTGCGAAATCAAGCCTCAACCATGCCACTATCCGGAAACACCCGCCAGATGTCCGGTAAACCAATGCCGTTTAAACTGGTCTCTACGGGGTTAAACGTGCCGCCATTCCAAGAAGGGTCAATAAACCTTGGTCGCTGGCCCTCACACTTTCGAGAGAACGAGCTTCTTGGCGTGCTTTTGTGGCCCAAGTCGAGGGCAAAGAAGTGGGCGTTGAGAGCACCCATTGTTATGCTCCACTACTACACTACTGAGGCAGGGCAAGCGATAATAATTCATTTCAACAACACTATTGCAGGTATCCAAGCTTGTACAGTAAATCCACAAAACAACAAACTTGCCAGCATGGAAGTTACCAAGCGCCTGGCTCCTTTGACCGGCTTCACTTCTCGCACTGAAGTCTGCTGGAGCCTCCCGAGAGTGCTTCTGGAGTGGTGTTCTCTTGGGCGTGGATCGTTGACCATCATTTGCTCAGGCCTGATCCGAGCCTTCCATATTCTTGCACGCCTTCAGCTGTGGACAGCCACAAGGTGCTGCGCTGAGGTGCAGCCCAACGGCAAAGGCAAACTCGTGCGCGGCCAATGACGTGGCGGGCCCACGGAGCGCGTTGCATTTAAAAAACGCGTTTGGGGTGGTGTTTAAACGCGGGTTCGAATTCGGAATCTTGCGCCGCGCTTGGTCGCAACGGGATTGGCCAAAAAGCCGACTTATTTTTCGCCGAAACCCCATTCCCAAAGAAGCCCGATGCCCATTACGACGCTCAAGCTCCTGCACAAGGAGGCGCAGGACATGCGCCGGGTCAAGGTCGCCGACCTGCGCGATATGGTCGGCCGCGCGTCCTCGACGGAGCTCTTCACCTTCGGCGAGCTCCAGAAGTATGCGCTCGACATTGCCTTCCCGGCGCTGCAGCACGCCGAAGTCTTCTTCTACTACCTCGACGACGAAGGCGAGCAAGTGCGCATCACGAACGACGCCGAGCTCAAGGAAGGCATTCGCCTCATGGAGACGGAAGGCGACATCTTCAAGATGGTCGTCTCGGGCAAACGCCAAGTTGTCGACCAAGATGCGACTGTCTCGTTCGACTCGGAGTGCTCGCTGGCCCTTTTTGTCGACTTGAGCCGCCTCCTTGACAAATGGGAGTGCTCGAACGACCAAGCGCCCATGAAGAAGGACATGACGACGCTTCTGCATGTGCCAGGTGTGCAAGGCGCCATGATTGACATGATGGCGGATGCCAAGGTACGCAGCAACGCATACACTTTATTGTACTTATGCTACTTGCATAGTACACGTCGTACTTTGAGAACGTGTCGACAGTCATCAAGGAAGGGGGATCGGTGGTCGAAGGCGTTGCGTCGATGTTCGCCGGCGGTCAGCTTCAAGACATGGCCACGGCCCTCATGGAGAAGTGCCCGGACATCAAGGACCTCCTCGAGAGTATCATGCATGCGATCCAGGTGCAGGTGCACGCGCACCAGCAAGCCAAGCACGCATCGAGCGTCTCACAGACGCTGCCGCCCCTCCCTGAAGATCCATCGCTCGTCCACCAGCTCTTGGAGTTTGTCACGGGCAAGTTCTTTACCGATTTGTGGTCGCTCTCGAGCGACCAAGCCGGCGAAGTCATGTTCAACTGCGGCGTCAGCAGCGAGCAGATCCAAGCGCTCTCGCGCGAGAGTCGCATTCGCTGGATTGCCGAGACCATTATCCACATCCAGGCGATGAACCAAGCGCGAAAGGAGCAGAAGGAACTCGCTGAGAAGGCGGCACAGGAAGCGGCGCTTTCGAGCACCAACCACGGCATCATGGACGCGGACGACGTCGACTCGAAGCCGTCGGTGGCCTTTATGGGCGACGTGAGCTTCCCGGATGGCTCGACTGTCCGCGCCGGCGACTCGTTTGTTAAGACGTGGCGTCTCAAGAACGACGGCAAGACGGTATGTACTGTTGGCAAGCCGTGTGGTTTCTTATTGCGCGTTTGACTAGCGCTGGCCGGCCAAGACGGAGCTCGTGTGCGTTGGTGGGGACCACTTGGAAACCGAGTCGAGTCTGATCTCAATTCCGATCCTGCCGCCCGGCAAGATGATTGATGTCTCGGTCGACATGCAGGCGCCGTCCAAGCCCGGTAGTACATAGCACGCTAAATTTTGCGGACGCTCATGATATTGTGTAGCGCGCTACACGGGGTACTGGCGCCTCTCGACGACCGACGGCAAGCGCTTTGGCCAGCGGTTCTGGGTTGACATTTTGGTCGTTGGCAACAAGACGACTACGCACGAGCTCAAGCCCCCGGCCTCGAACGAAGTCGTGCTCCCGGCAGCCGCACCGCAGGTTGTTCTCCCGGCAGCCGCACCGCAGGTTGTCGGGGCGGCGGCTCCCCAAAACTTCTTTCCGACGGCGGTGCCCAAGACCTTCTATGCGGGTGCGGCGCCCCAGGTGGCTGTCGCAGCCCCCGAAGTCGTGTCGCAGGCGCCGCCGGCGCCCGTGGTTGTCTCGGCGCCGGTCGTCGTGCAGGCAGCGCCGTATGCCTCGGAGCTCGAGGCGCTCGAGAGCATGGGTTTTTCGGACCGCGCGACCAACTCGCGCCTCCTGGCGCAGTACAACGGGGACGTGTCGATGGCGCTCAACCACTTGCTCAACTAGGTTTTATAACGTGCATGTATCGCCGTCTTTGCTAATTAAAATGCCAAAAATTGACGCCCTGGACGAGCCCGAGCGACTGGATGTTGGCTTCGAGCTCGCCGTCCGTGCGCCCCATTGACACGCAGCAGATGATCGGCGGCTTGGCCTCGGAGAAGTGGATGATGGGCACGTGCTTCTTGGTCTCGCGGCAGTAGTACGTCGACCCGATCTTCTTGACGTTGACATCGCAGAACGCCGCGACCTTGCTAGCGCCACGTCGAATAAGTTCTGAGACATTCTGAGCTATCGTACTGCTTGCCGTCGGTCGAGAGGTCGACAAAAAAGTTTTTGCCGTCGCGGCCGCAGCCCCAGATCGTGAACGAGGCCCACTGGCTGAGCACGCGGCGCTCGAGGGACGCGAGGCGCGTGCGGAGGAGGACCCGGCGCGGCAGTTTGCTGCAGACGGACCCGCTCGAGTGCCGGTAGATGACGAGTTCGTCCGACGCCTTGTCGAGCGAGCCGCCCATCTCGAGGTGCTTGAGGAAGAAGATCAAGTCTTCGGGAATCGTGACGCCTTCGGGGGCTTCGTCAAAGCCGCCGACTGTCAAGAAGCGCTCGCGGCGCATGAACCACGTGGGCATGATGATCGTGCACTCGCTACGAGTACATATGAGCTTACATGCTCATGGCGCGCAGGCATTCAACCGGTACTGCTGGAGCACGAGCTGCTCCTTCGTGAGGCTGTTGGCCCACGCCGTGTAATGCCACGTGGAGCCTTCGGGAATGCGTCGAAAGTTGGCGCCCACAATGACGTTCGGGTCGTCTTGTGCCATCTTGCTACGAGAATCAGGACATTGTGAGCGACATGCAGTCGAATGGCTAGCGTACAGCTGGACGGCGACGCGCTCGGACACGACCATGTCGTCCGAGTCGAGAAAGGCGAGGTAGGCGCCCGTGCAGACGTCGGCCGCACGGTTCTTGGCGTAGCCGGCGCCGCCTGGCGTGGCCTTTTTCTGTTCGACTACGTGCAGTGTAATGTCTGCAGCGGCGCACTTGGGCACCCACGCGTGGAGCTTGGCGAGCGTGTCGTCCGAGGACGCATCGTCGTAGACTGCAATCTCAAGAGGCCGGTACGTGGAGCTGCAGATGGACTCGAGGCAGTCGTCAATGGTCGCCGACGCATTGTGCGCTGGGATCACAAAGGACACGAGCGGCGCGTCCTCGGTCTTGAGCCGCTTCGCCGCTGGTTCAATCTCGCTGGTGCCTGTCGCCGCCATGCTGTTTGATTGGATGTATTGTGGAAGGTTGGCCACGACATATGGACCAATCGCTGGTGTTGCGACCGCGCATGACGCGTTTGATTGGGTAGATAAATATGTTTTCTGATTGGGCAAAATCGACAGAATTTTATGCCAATCACGTGGTACGTTTGTCGAAAGTTCGAGTGACTTGAGTTTTCTATTCGATCCTAGATCTCACTTTTGTCGGGTTAACGGGACCAGCAGCATGCGACGCTGGGCGACCATCGTGCTGCTCCTGACCGCGCTGCATGCGGCCGACTGCGCTGCTCCGGACGTGGCGCTGCAGCACCCGCCCGAGCTACGTGCACTTCTTCCCGAGCGGAATGCAACCGCGCCTGCAGTGGCCAACGCCACAACGAGCAAGGCGACGACGATCGTGCCAGCAACGATCATGGCCACGACCATAAAGGCTGCAAATCTCGCAACCACGAAGAAGCCGATGACCCAGTGGTGCGTCGACGGTGGCTTCACGTTCGACCTCAACTTTGCAAAAGCCTTTGTCGACATTCCAGCCTTCAGCAAGTACGTTGAGAGTCAATTGAGCGCCAGCTTGCCACTGCAATACGAGGTCCAGTTCCGCGATCTCGCCCCGTCCCCCCACGATAGCGCCAAGCCATTTGTCGTCTTTACGCTGTGCGCGCCTGCCACAACCTCCAACGAGCAGTGGCTCATGTCCGTCCAGAAGCAGATCCCGATCCTCTACACCGTGATGGCGCTGCCGCTCAGCGCCGACCAGGACAAGGCCATTAGCCGTTTGCGCGTATACCATCGATCCGCGAGTACTGCGCCTGCTGCCCTCGTCTTGACACCGGTACGATCTGTGGTTGCTCTCGTCTCGCCAGCGTCCAACGGCGTCCCGTCCTTCGAAGCGACGCTCATCGCGCACAACACCGGTGGCACGTCCGTGACGGTATACGCGATTGTGTGCTACGGCATGAGCGACTGGCGCGACACGGTGCTCGCGCTGCCCGAGCCGATCGTGCTGCAGCCCAAACACAAGACGTCGCTCACCTTCCGAGGTCCGATGCTTCCCAACGTCGGCGTCGACCCGACTCTCGTGGCACCGGACCTGCTTGTATCTCTCCACTTGGTGCAAAGCTCGGGCACGCCGGTCGAAACTGCAATCACGGCGATGCTGGACGCACCTGCAAGAACTGAAGCAGCCACGCGCCCGGTGACAAGTGCGCCGGACGTGACGCATGACACGGACGCGCTCGTGGCGCTCGATGCGCAGCCCATGGCCGATGACGAAGACGCGTTTGCGCGCGTGCGAAACCGTCTCCACAGCCAAGGTGCCGTCGACAACAGCGCGTTTCCGTCGTCCACTTTTAAAGGTACGCACAGCAAGTGCATTCTATCAGTCATGATGATGGCGCGTAGCCATCTCGGCGTGCCTCGTACTGGGCGTGGTCATCTACACGTCGTACTTTGCCTACTCGCGTCTTCGCAACCGGTCGCTGGCCTGGACGCAGCTCGTTGGCCGGAAGAAGCAAAAGACGCGGTACCCAAAGGACAACATTCAAGACACGACTGACGGTAGCCTGGATGAATATGACGATCACTGTGAAGAAGACGACGGGCTGCTGCCGGCAACAAAGCCACCGACAGTCCTTGCGCAGGAGACAGACCCGCAGCACGTATGGGGGCAGCCAGCGCGCGTCGTATCACCTGTCTGTCCAGCGCCGTTGTTTCCGTCGACACCTGCACCCGAGCCTCTCGTGCTCGATGCGTCCATTCGAATGCATCCCAAGCGGTTCGAGTCGCTCTGGGGCGAGTACATGGAGCGGTATGTTCATCTCGTATAAACCACATGGGGATCAACGACAACGTGCCGCTATTAGTGCCAAGTGGCAGCGGGCGATTTCGCTGCGGCCCGACGCCAACGCCGTCATGACGCGCTTCTACGAGATGGGGCTCGTCTGCATGGCCAGCGGCTCGGTGCAGCTCACCGACAAATATTTATTCTACACGGCCGAGGTACGCATTCTGTCGCCGGCACCGAGCCTGACGCCACGTGCAATAGCCGGCAACGCCCGACGCCTTTTACTTTTGTGACGTGGCGATCCAATTCATCTCGCTCGAGGTCGACGTCTCGGTGCGCACGCCGCGCGAGACGTCGGCGGCCAAGATCGATGTCTTTGTACAGCGCGTCAAGATGGCGCTCGACGATCTCGACGCCGGCAGCTCCCTGGCTGTTGCCGAGTGACGGACTTGTGGCTACTCGCGACGAGGCGTACGGCTTGCTACTTCAGCATAGCGGCATGGTAAACAAGCAACATGACCGCGACTGTCCTTTCTCGAGCCTTCTTGCCAACCTCCGTGTCGCACGTGCGCGAGAAGCAAGCGCGCCTTTGCACCCAAGGCGGCGTCCGAGGATGACCACGCCAAGCAGCCACCGTCAGTCGTCACAGTGGCACGCTGGACACACATGAATTCTTCTCGGGTCATCTTTCGACCAGTTCATCATGGCAGTACCCAAGCAGCCACCCGCTTGCTACAAGGCCACGCGCCTCCTGCCCGTAGAGCCGCCCATACTCATCGGACCCATGACCTCACGCAGAAGGCCATTGCCGTCGTCCGCCTCGAAGCCATCGGCATGGCGGCCGCGTCCAGGCGGCGAGAGTAGGACGAGTGCGACATGGCCGGAGGCCGCGCTTATTGGGCCCTTGGTTTGAGTGGTGAGGAAAGAAAAGAAAAAGAAAGGGAGAGCCACGCGGGGTAGGGCTGGCCGCTGAGAATATCGACTTTCACAGGTAAAACTCATTTAACGCACCGACGTCGCGGGCCAAAACACCTCGCGAGGTGTGCCCTAAAACGCGTTTTACCGATTCCGGGGCGTGACGAGGCGGCTGATAATACACGACCAAGCACGCCGACATGGAGTGCGTTTGTCACATAACTCCATGCGTCGCTGCGTATTTACGCTCGGAGGTATCATATCTGAGAGGTTTATGGCAATAAAAAAAGACTTTGCGGCCACTGGCGGGCGGTTTTTAATACGTTTTTCGGTCGCCCAACCCTGGCTTTCAATGGCACGTCACAGCAGTTGCATACAAACAACAAGATATAGAGGCCAGTGTTCGAATAAAAAAGCGGCAGAAGGTAGAATAAAAATACTCGAGTTTTATTCGACGTCAAACTGCTGGAGCCTACCGCGTTCATTTCGCAGGATACCAGCGCTATCTAAAGCCATCATTTCCGCTATTGCCGTCGACACCGTCTTGGCCGAGCATGCAGCATCACCAGAGCACACCCGAGGAAGACGACCGCGCCCGCGCCATCGTCCAGACGCTCTCCGCGGTGCTAGAGTCCATGGTCCAGTCGGCGGACGCCATTCCCGCCGGCTACATGCGCCGGACCAAATTTGAAGCCTTCCGCGCGCCGCAGATCTCGATCCTGGACTACCTCTTGCGCATCCAGACGTACGCGGCCTGTAGCCCCGAGTGCTTTGTGCTAGCGCTCATCTACATTGACCGCCTGCACCAGATGCAGGGCTTTGTCATGACCGAGCTCAACGTGCACCGCGTCATCATCACGGCGATCGTGCTCGCGGCCAAGTTCTTTGACGACCAGTACTTCAACAACGCGTACTACGCCAAGGTTGGCGGCGTGCCCGGCTCGGAGATGAACGAGCTCGAGGTCGAGTTTCTCCTCTTGACCAACTTTAGCCTCCACGTGACGTCCGAGGCGTACTCGCGCTACTACAACGAGCTCGCCAACCACTACATCTTCTCGCGCACGCAAGGCGGCGAGTTCAAGCACTGCGTCCGGCCCGACCCGGCTCAAGGCGGCCAGCTCGTGTATGTAACGGACATGGTGCGCTCGTTCGACGACACGGACATGACGTACTGCGATCCGCAGTTTTCGTCGACCGCGAGCTCGAGCAGTCTTGGCTCGAGCTACGGCTCGACGAACGGCGCGACTACGTCGTACGGCATTGCGAGCGCCACCAACTGTAAGAAGCGGACGCGCGCGCCTTCCAACCCGAAGCGGCGCAACGTCTTCCCTCTCGGCGTCAACGCCTAAGCGACTCTTCCGTCGCCTGTACCACTAGCCCCAACTTTCGTAGATAAGATAGGACCTTAGATTATAATATTTTATTGCAGCGCGCACGCTGCCCTCGAGGACCGCATCATTGCGGCCCTCGAGACGCGTCGCGCAGCTGCTTCTTCTTCATTCCCTTGTCTACGTTGCGCCTCGAACGATAGCATCGGACTTGCCGACGAGGTCTTGACCCCATCCTCGATGACGTACTCATGCGACGGTGCCGAGGTCGGACAGCAATAATCACTCGAGCAACATTGATTACGGTTCCTAGACTACTTGCGGCGCCAAAAGGTACCGTCCGAGACGCCCCACTGGAACTTGCGGTCGTGCTCGCGGATCAAGAACGGGTATTGCGTGCGCTCCACGAGCTCAAACGACGTGCTCAGGATGCGCTCGAGCTCGACGAACGAGTCGCCTGCCTCTGGCGTCGCGCCGATCCAGTGCTCCTTGGCGGTGTATTCTTCGAGCCACGAGTACGGGCTCACGAGCGCGAGGATGCCGTCCTTCTTGACGAGCGACGGGAGGCGGTCGAGAAAGAGCCGCGGGCGGGGCACGCGGCAGAGCAGATTGGACGCAAAGACGCAGTCGAAAGTGCCGAGATGCTCGCCCAGGTCGCACGCGTCGCCTTGCTCAAAATGGACCTTGGTCCGGTCGATGCCCGCCGGCACGGCGGCGGTGCGCATCGCCGTAATGTCGCCTTGGATGTGAGCCTCGTACGTCGTCGACCCATGCGTCTTCATCTGGTTGGCCACGTCGATGAAATGATGCGAAAAGTCAATGCCGATGACCTAGGCATTCCAGAGATGATGATGTCACTGATCATTGGGCACAAGCAATGTACCTCGTCAAAGGTGCGGCTGAGCTCAAACGAGGACCGCCCGACGGAGCAGCCGACTTCCAGCGCACGATGGCGCATCTCGGGGCGTGTGAGTGGAACCGTGTCAGCGACGGTGCGATGAAGGAAGGCCAGCGCGTCTTTGGGAGCGAACGGGTACGGGACAACTTCTTCGGGCTTGCCTGAGCGCATGTCAGAGACAAGGTCAGATCTTGGTCTTACTCTACCATAGTGGAACTGGAGGTACTCCATGGCAGCGCGCTCCGACTCGTAGACCATCGAGCCGCTTGCGGTCGTGCTGCGGGTCGACGCGTGGCGCAGGCCAGAGGCAGCGGTCTTGAGCATCCTGTGAAAAGCGAAAATGACGAAGATCCTGCGGTGGATCGAAAATCCCACTCGTTTGATTGGCCAAAATCCCGCCGAATTACACGCCGGCTGCAAAACCTTCATGCGAATTCGGCGGAACTCAGAGCGCGCGAGCGTCACTGCCTGTTGAAGCGACCATCCAAGCTCGCAGACTCGCCATAGCATCTCACAAGCGACTTCACAGCGCTCATGCGTGCGGAGTGCGACTTTGGCAATGGCTGGCATCGGCGCTGCCGCGTCGAAACCGTAACATAGTACAGTGTTTCAAACAGTGTATTACCCGCGCGATCCTGTTGTTAAATATGGCAAATGCCACTTGTAATCGGAGTAACGCAACGATCCGGAAACAATCCGGCGCAGTACGTCGGCGGTGCATGCCGCATAGTCGCGCCAGGACGCTCGTCGCGGGTGCTTCATGGCGCACAACCCTGTGTTCGACCGCGTGCAGTCGGTCCGGTCGGCGCTCGCCTTTGACCGCAAGCGCTATGCGCCTGTGCAACCGGCGTCCGCTGGCGTCTGCAGCCGCCAACGCGCCGTCGCGATCTATGCTGGGCGCGTTGCCCGCGAGGTGTGTCGGCGCGGCTGCCGGGCACTTGGCCGCGGCTTCTCGTGGAGCATGGTCTGCCTTCATCACAGCTATACGCGCTGCTTCAGCCGCGTCAACCCGGTCCATGGTAGCAGCGACGAGACGGCCACGCGTCGCCGCGTCACGCCGCCCGTGGCCATCTTTTTGTGCCTCATCCTCTTCACCATCGTGCGCTTTGTTTTGTCCTTGCCGCAAATGTACTACGCGCGGACGCAGTATGCGCCTCGGGTGCACACGGACGAAGCCAGCATTCGGTCCAAGATCTTGTTGAACCACGCGCCGGGGCTTGACGTCACCAAGGCCAAGTTGCGCTGGCAAGACTTTGAACCCGACGATACTTCCACTTTGTGCAAACACACCGCCGAGACGACAGCGTTCATTACCGACGCCCGCGGCGCCACGTGTAGCCGCGAGTCCTTGCTGCCCTCGGGGTGCTGCCCAGTGGCTGCGAGTACTGTTACCTTCAGCTGTACCTCTTGCAACGTCGCCGCACCCCACTGCTGCAGCGAGTACGAGCGCTGCGTATCGTGCTGCATGAGCCCCGACCATGTACGTTTCTTCTTTTTCGCATTAGCTCGGAGCAGCCGACCAAATTGTAGCGTGAGATTCTGCGGCATTTCCTCCTGCACGCCAACCCCGCCCACCCCGTGTACGGCGCACCGCACCACCTGAGCGTCTTTGGCTTTTGCGCGTTTCGGTGCCGAACGTCGTCGGCCAGTGTGCAGCACCAAAATTCCTACCGCAGCACGAAGAAACACTGCTACGGGCTCCACCGACCTCGTAAGGAGCTCTCGGTCGTCAATAGCGATGGCACCGCCAACAAGTCGGCCGCGTTCGATGCCAGCCTACCGTGCGTCTCGATGGATATTGGAGCTTAGCGCACTAACCATCTACGTAGAATACCCACAAGTCCGCTCGAGTGGGACCCGTTCTACGCTCCGCCCGCGGCCTAGCTTGTTTCGCCCAATAAGCTACTGTCCTCTAAGTTTATTCACAAAAGCTTTGCAAAGAACAGTCGCGGCTTTATATAGTCAGGGCGGTGAGCTATCAATAGGCCGCTTTCGCGTCAGTTGGAATAACGAAGGGGGCGCGTCGCAGCGGTAACGCGTTCTTCGTACAGCGCGATTCCGTCCTCGATGAATATAACCGCGCGCTCGGGGCCATCGCTCATGATTCCGCTCGCAGCTGAAGCCCCCGTGAACCTCGCGACGGCCAAGACCCTCTCGAAAGGGGCCGTCAGTGCCAGCAACCCCGGCGCCGACGAAGATGCGGGTACACTGTCAACTCTTCTCAGTGGAATCTCACGAGCCATCGCGCAGAGTTTTGGAAGAACACGTTCAGAGACCGTGTGCCCCAGCACGCGGCGGTGACAGCCAATTGGCGCGAGCCGTCGCCGTCCGAGTTTCGCGTCCGCAGTAAAAAGTACCTCACCGACAGTGTCAAGGAGGCCGTGGATCACCCCAGTACGTCCTCTATCCTCATTCGTATCGTTGTTTGACGAGCGATGCGGTAGAGTGCGACTTGGTCTGGGTCGACGTGTTCCAGGGGAAGAAAGAAGCGTTCTTGCATGCTGCTGCGCGCCGCGACGGCGTCGTCGCCCACTTCCACACGCTGTACCCAGCGAACGAGCTCTTCGTCCTCAACATTATCCTGCCCGGCAAGCCCGAGGTGACGTACGTCAACTACTTTGCACTGCGGACGCCGGTGGCCGGGACGGAGGACTCGGCGTTCGGCCGGCTTTGGCGGGCGTTCCTTGACGGCTCGGACGAGTTCCGCAACGCTCGCCTCAAGCTCATTCCGCGCATCGTGCACGGGCCGTGGATGGTACGCAAGGCCGTGGGCTCCAAACCCTTTATATTGGCGAAAGCGCTGCCGATCCAGTGGTTCCGCGGCAAGCACTACCTCGAGGCCGTCGTCGATGTGAGTTCGGACGCTGTCGCGCGCAAGGTCACGTCCATGTGCCGCATGTGCGTCTCGTCGCTCACCGTCGACATTGGGCTCGTGCTCGAGGGGCAAAAGGAGGACGAGCTCCCAGAGGCGATGCTGGGCTGCGTCCAGTACGACCGACTGGACATGGCCAACGCGACGCCGATCTAAGCCCCCGCAAATTTATTGAACGTTCTTTACATTGCTCGTCATATTTACGTACGTGGCAGCACCACGGACCAGGAAAAACCTCGTATTCAAAACACGTATCTATACGATGTGGGAGGTATTTGGTCCCAGAAAATATCGACAAGTCCACAGCCTAGAATCAAGGACTTCGACGAGACCAGCTGAGCTCGAGTTAAGCTGGTTGAGCCAACGCCGCAAGGACGCAGTGCTGGACTTGGGACGATGGCATCTGCGTGTTATTAGCCGCACTTAAGGTCGAACCATGAGGCAGCGCAGACGCCGAGCCGTTAGAGCCTCGACATATCCGTGCCAACTGCGCTACAATCGAATCAAGCCACGAGTTGTGTGCGATCAGGGGATTCATTGACAAGCATCACCTCGAAGATGCTCTCTCGTCGTCGCGGCCTTCACCGAAGGCCCCTCTCGATATATATCGCAGTTGGCCGTAAAGTTGGTGCAAGGCCGGTGGGCTGATAGATAAAATGATACTGAATTCAGGGACATCCATTGCGAACGTACAGAGAGAGTGGACGCTACTTAGAGGTTCATTTGGAAGCGCTGGCCGGCGTTGTTGACGTCGCACGAGAGGAGGTAGACGTTGCCGTTGGAGGCGTCGCTCGAGAGGCAAAGGCCGAGCTTGCGCGCGTGCATGATCTGGCCCGTCTTGTCGTTGTACTGCCACTGCTGGTTGTCGTTGGTCGCGTCGCAGTTGTAGACGTGGACACCGCCGTAGTCCTTGAACTCCCACGCATCGAGGCAGCTGTTCTGGTTGGCCTTGTTCTTGATCGTCTGGAGCATCGGGTCGTAGTACCACAACTGCGTCTCGGGGATCGCGCCAGCCATCGGCGCCGAGCGCACGCTCAACGCGCCATAGTATTCGGTGAGCTCGAGGTCCGAGCCCGCGACGGCAATGCGAAGCTCCTGCGAACCCATGTCGACCTTCGTGAGACCCTTGTTGTCGTTCGAGCACGTGGCGAGCTTGAGGCTCTTGGTGAGGCAGAGGTTGCCGATCTGGGCACCGTTGCCGTTGAAGCTCCAGCGCTGGCTGGCCTTGGCAGCGTCGCAGCGCGCGACCGACACAAACTGGCCCTTGCCGTTGCCTTGAAGGCACGCGTTCGTCGAGCGCGACTTGAGCCAGCCCGAGTCGGCCTGGTTATAGAACCAGATCTCATTGTCCAGGCGGTCCGTGAGGCCCTTGGCGGGCGCCGAGATCGAGAGCTTGCCAAAGCTTTCGCCCTGCTTGTAGCTGCCGGCCTTGAGCACGTTCGCGTCACTGTGGAGGCGGACGGCCGTCGGCGCAGCACCCACCGTGAGCGACGCAATGAGCGGCTTCATCGTACGCGTGTTGTCAAAGAGGCCAAAGTGGCGCTCGATCTCGGGGTCGCGGTTGCCGTCGAACGACGAAAAGTAGTAGTAGTTGACGTTCTGCTGCTCCGCGAACGAGATAAACTCCTTGGTGTAGAGCGCTTGGGCCTCCGGCGACGTCTCGGCGACGACACTCGCCGTGCCGCCCGTGGCCCACCCCGTCTCGGAGAGCACGACGGGCTTGCCGAGCGCACGCGCCGAGTTCCAAATGCCTTGGAAGTCGTTGTACAGAGTGGGGACACCTTCGACCGCTGTCTTGTTCTGCCACATGGCAAACGCGTTGACCGAGACGACGTCCGTGTTGGCGTAGAGCTCCGGAAAGTACTTGTACGAGTCCATGATGTCGGTGATGACGACCGGGAAGAAGAGGTTCTTGCTGCGAAGGTAGGCCTTGACGTCCTTGTAGTGCTTGATGATGCGGTTGATCGGGCCCTTGTCGGCAAAGTCGTGCTGGCCCTGGATGTAGTAGCGGTAGATGGCCTCGGACGAGACCTGGATGCCAACGACGTTGTTGTTGTTGACCATGCCCTTCTCGACGAGGTTCTTGAGGCGCTGGAACTCGCCATCGAACGAGTCGATCTTGGCGTCGGCCTCGGACCAGATGCCGAGCCAGATCTTCATGTTGCGCCAGCCCGCGTGCCAGTAGAGGCGCGTCATGCAAGCTTCGTCCATCGAGTACATGCGGACGGTGTGCGTGATGTCCTTGAGCTTGTCGAGGTCGAGCGGCATGTTGGTATCGTCGGGGCACGATGCGTAGTTGAGCGCGTAGAGCTGGCGGTCAAGCGCCATCACGGACGTGGCTGCGGCCGCGAGCGACGCGAGGATGGAGGTAATGCGCATCTTGATCGCAATTGGGAAATGACAGCATTGCGCGGCAGAGCTGGGGCAGAGCCAAACGCGTGCTGCGAAAGCACCTGCCATGTGTCACATCGTTCGAACTCCGACTTTCTGTGGGTTTGTCCCAAACTGGCGCTGGGTTAAACCTACTCCATCGCGACGGCGACGTCGACGCGCTGCGTTGCGCACACCGTCATCGGCGTGGGCAGGCGAGATGCAGTGCCACGTATAAGTGTACCGGTATAGTAAAGGCGGTTATCCCAGTGTCCTTGGTCTTGGCTCCATCTTGGCGCTGCCATTGTACCAGTGCCATTGTCCGCGCCGACGACGCGCGACGGGCAACGGCGGCGAGATTTTTGGATCCAATTACACTGCAACCTTAGAGCAGACGACGTCAACACGAACGACGCCAACTGAGAATCACTGAAAATGACCGGGTACCGTCTCCGGCCCAGGAATCGGCCGCTCTGCCCTGGGCTGCCTAGCCAACCGAGCAGAGTCCACTGAGTTGTATCAACTTGCTGCCACTTCGTGTAGCAGTCGTACACTGCAGATGCGGAGATATCTACAGATTTACTACGGTATATCTACTATCACACGCAGTGGTGCTGTGCCACCCGTATGATCCGTATGCAGGCATGCGTCACCGCTTTTGATGAACCTGGCTCGAACCGACCTCCGTCCGATCTCACACCGCGCTGCGAGGAAGCTGCCATCCGCCTCCGCCGGTGGTGCCAGGGACGCAGCACGACCACTACAGTACTGTTACTATCTACGAAAGTGTGTTGGCTCAGCTTCTTGCGTACAGACGCCGCTGCAGGAGCGGGGCAGCTTCAACAACAAACAAGCTGGTTGGTGCTACAAAAGTGTCGTTGGGACATACTCGGGTTTTACACCGCGCTACTGTTCGTCGGCGTCCTCGAAGAGCGGGTTGCGCGGGAGGCGGTCGCGCATCGGGACATGCTCTTGGACGCGGTTCCACGGCAAGAACGTCTGGAGGAAGAGCAGGAGCGGGTTGGCGTCCGCCGGGAGGTTCCCGCCCACGCGCGCCTGCTCCTCTTGGAGCTGCTGCTGGAGCTGCGCCATGGCCATCGGGTTGTTCTGGAGCTCTTCCAGCAGCGCGGGGTCGAGCCCGTTCGGGTCCATTGCCATTTGCGGCGGCTGCAGCATCGGGTGGTCTGCTGGCAGCGTCGTCACGTCGTCCGAGTAGTCTACACGCGGCGTCGCATCCTTATGAACCAACGCATCCAGGGTCCTACCCGGCGTGATGGCACGGTAGTACTTTTGGAGGGGCGAGCTTTGCGGCCAGTCGCGCTCAAAGGTCGCGCGGTTGTAGCTGCTGCTGGCGCGCGCCGCACTCGCGAGGAGGAATGTCTGCACGTCCTGCACCTTCCAGAGCGAGTGGTGGCGCAGCACGTAGATGTCGAGCACGTGCGCGAGGCCGCCATTGTCGTCGAGGTGCGGGCTGTTGGCAAACACTGCGCTGCAGAGCACGTCCTGCCACGCCTCTATCGTTGGCCACTCAGATCTCATGGCATCTCCTCTCGAAAGAAGCGTACTGGACGTCGTCGAGATGCCGCACTTGTCGGTGAGCGGCTTGAGCACGCGCGGGTACTTGGCGAGGGCGATGGCGAGCGCGTCCGTCGCGTCCGCTTCGTTGCCGAGATGGTACCTAGAGACGGCTTGTATCAACTTGATACATTTCGAGCAGGACGACGTACAGGGCGAGCGCGGCGGAGAACTGGAGGCCCGGGAGCGCATCAACAGTTGCCGAAGCCGGGTGCGTCGGCACGGCCGCCGACCCGTGGCGGACGACGACCTCGGTGTGGCTCGCATATAGGTCCAGCACAAACTGGCACTGACGCGCTGCGAGGGCGTAGTAGTCGAGGCAGAGCAGCACGTGCATCGGGTCGCCCTTCGGGTCCATGCTCCAGATGAGCTTGGCAATCTCAAAGGCACTGCGCACACAGCCGCGCCGACCGACCTACTTGATACATTGAGAGATTGGGTGGTACAAAACAAAGCGACTTGTTTCATGAGGAAGAAGAGCGCGCGAAAGTACGCAGCGTTGTCACCCGCGTGGATGTCCATGCGGGCCGTGCCGTTGGCGACGTCGTACTGCTCGCCCCACGCGAGCTCGAGAAAGTAGACGCACCTAGATGCAGCATTGAGATTCAGATTCAGATTCGGCGAATATACTTTTTGATGCAGTCGGCCGAGTGGTCCATTTGACCGTGATGCTGAAAGACCTCGCTCATCTGAAGAAGCGCGTCGACGTGGTACGGGTGTTTGGCGAGGAAGTGGCCAATCGCGTTCGGGTCGTGCGTCGATTGCAGCACCTGGAACTGCTCTTGCATCTACAAAATCGTTTTTGAGATTGAGTTTGAGACGGCCAAGGAACACACCTTCTTGTACGTAAGCGACCAATCGACCTGGAAGTAGTCGCAGCCAAGGTCCCACGACGGACACGCCGGCTTGTCGACACGCGTCCAGCGGATGCCGCCGCCCACAAACGTAGGCGGGCGCGGCCACGAGTCGTCCGGCGTCACGAGCACGACCTTCTTGGTCGACCGGCGCGCTGCGTTCCTAGTCCACCCAATGTGAGAGGCGGAGAGTAGCATGAACGACGTACCGCGTGTTCTTGAGCGTCTCACGCGCGCCCTTGACCTATGCACAGCGTGTGTGAGGTTGAGTCGTCTTCGGTCGCGACGCTATACTCCAAAGAGCCGCTTCATTTCCTTGTCTGCGTTGAGCGCACCGACGTTGACGGCGAAGAGCTCGTTGCGGTGGCGGACTTGGCCTGGCGCAGGCTTACCCTCGTCGTCGTCTTGCAATTGCTGCGACGCCAGCGCATCGAGAAGGTCGTCGACGTCGTCGCTCTCGGTCGCTGCCTTGGCCCTAAGATGGCGCGCAACGACTGAGAGGCCACGCCACGATCGAGCGCGATGTACTTGTTCTTCTTCTTGTTCTTCTTGTTCTTGCTCTTGGTAGCAGGTGCGATCACGACCTTGGGCTGCACGACAACGGGCGGCGCAACAGGCTCATCCTCCGAATCGCTCTTGTCCGAGTCGTCGTCCGAGTCTTGGAGGAAGTGGAAGCCGGCCGAGGCCTTGGCCTGGGCGCCGCCATCCGACTCGGAGTCGCTCTCTTCGCGCTGGACGGCCTGGTGCAGCCGACGGGCTTGTCTTGCCGACCTAGTACAGCCTCGATGAGCCCCGCTCGGTTGCCTGCCAGCCTACATTTTGCGTTGTCGCCTGCTGCCAAGCTCATCCGGATACGATTGCCGGATACGGTTCGCTGAGTTTCACCCAATGGAATTCGTGCCGAATGCGATCTTGGTGCACTAAGTTTATCAGCTGCAACCAAGTACTTATCTGTTCAAGCCGACGACGGCGCCTTCACCCCACCCGACTGTACATGGACCTGACACGAGAGCGTTGGCGTCAAGTGCAAACTCAAGTGCAAACTCAAGTGCAAGCTCGTCCATCCCAAGGATGACCAGATGCGATGTGGCCTTTCTGCAAAGACGTGGGTTGTTGCAACAATATCTGCGCTCGGATCGATGGCTGGGGGTGCTAAGCGCTGCCTCATTTCCCATTGCGCTAGAGAGAGCAACATGCTGTCGCCGACCCAGCTTGCGCTCCTGGTCCCCGTGGCCTCGTCAGCCGTGTGGTTTCTCTACCACTTTTTCCTCATCCCGCGCATCCACCGCCTCAATGCGCTGCCAGGGCCGCCCCCGAAAAGCATCATTAGCGGCAACGCGTACGCTGCAGCTTCATCCTCGTTCACCTCTCACACGCCTCATGTAGGAAGGACATGGTGAAGTTTGCGTGGAGCGAAGAGGACCCGTACCCTGGCGTCTACGGCAAGTGGCTGCGCACGTATGGGCCCGCGTACCATCTTCGCTTGCTGCACTTCCACACGGTATATGTCTTGAAGATATGGACAGTAATGTCATCGACTGCGAGGACAGGTTGTCTTGGCCGACCCCGATGCGCTCAAGCACGTGTTCGTCTCGCGCGCCGACAACTACATACGCCACGCGACGCAGCGCGGACTCTACTGGTCCTTCACGGGCGGCGCGGGCGTCCTCACGACCGAAGGCGACGTCCACGCCGCCCAGCGCAAAATGCTCAACCCGCACTTTGGCTACGTGAATCTCAAGACGTTTGTCCGCATCTTCAACACGCACGCCGCCGTGTTCGCGTCCCGTCTCGCGTCGCTCGCCGACGGCAACACCGTGCTCGACCTCCACGAGCGTGCGACAACAACTTGTCATCGATGTAGTAACGCTCAATATGTCTGTAGGCATGACCAAGTTGTCGTTCGATATCATTGGCCTCGCGGCGTTCGGGTACGCGTTCAAGTCGCAGGAGAACGAGAGCGTCTCCATCCTCGACGCCTTTGAGGCGCTCAATATGACGCCGACTTTCGCCTCGATCTACGGACACGCGTACATCCCGGGGTTCGAGCACCTTCCGCTGCCCTTTCTGCGCAAGCGCAAGGCGGCCAAGGCCGTCCTCGCACAAGTGGTCGACGACGTCATTGCCCGCAAGCTCGCGGCGAGTGCCGAGAGCGCGAACAAGGACCTCCTCGACTTGGTGCTCGAGTCGGATGAAAACATGACGCCACACGAAGCCCGTGTGCACGTGCTCACGTTCCTCCTCGCAGGCCACGAGGTGCACCGCTTTCTCTGTACTGCAGACGATCGGACACCGCAACTGTAGACAACGAGCACGTCACTGGCGTGGGTGCTGGCACTGCTGGCGCAGCATCCGGCAGTGGCAGCGGCTGTCGCCGACGAGTGCCGCCGCGTCCTTGCGAAAGCCGGCGACGACGGTCTCTCGTGGGACGACCTCGGCGAGCTCAAGTACCTCAAGGCAGTCATCAACGAGACGCAGCGGCTGCAGCCCACCGCCGGCATCCTCACGCTGCACTGCGTTGCCGACGACCTCGTGCCCCGTGCGGACGCCGAGCCCTTCTTTCTCCCCGCGGTTTCCTCATCGTTGCCTTTCTTTGGATGCTGACGTGGCACGCTAGGGATCGCGCATCACTTTGCACATTGGTGCGACGCACCGCAACCCGCAGTACTGGAGTCGCCCCGACGAGTTTCTCCCAGGTACTCTCCCTGTACCTTGTGAGCGACTAAGATTGCTGCGCAGAACGCTTTCTCGAAGGCTCGGCGCTCTTTGCGGCCGACAAGGACCTGCAGCGCGGCCGCAGCAGCACGTACTTCTTCCTGCCCTTCAGCAACGGTGCGCTCAACATGATAGCTCTCTACACGACGCTAAGCAAGGACGTTTTTAGGCCCCCGGAGCTGCATTGGTAGTCGGTTCGCAATCGCCGAAATGCTCGTCGTACTTACACACGCGCTGGCGAGATACGACTTTCGCCTTGACGTATCTGCCAACACACACGCCAAGATCGCGGGGCTGACGTACAAGCCCACGAAGCTCGCCATGACGGTCGTGCCCCGCACTAACTAGTTGGCCTTGACGTTAAGATAAGATCTTGTCCTGGCTTGTGCACAGGAGACAACATTGGTTCTGTCCACGCGATTGGCATCGAAAGCAGCGACTATGGCAGCTTGGCGCGCGTTAAAACCGCGTCGTACTCTGCCTCGAGGTCGGCGTACAGGTTGGCGAGCAGCGCTTTCTTGCGATCGGCGCTCGTCGCGGCCTCGAGGTCCTCGGCGTGCTGGGCGTGGAGGCGGCGCTTGACCTCGAGCCGGAAGGCCTTGTAGGCCGCCTCGTTTGATCGGTCCACTTGTCGCAGCTTGAGCATCTCGTAACAGCGCTGCACTTGGAGCTTCGTGAGCTTGAGTGCCTGGTTTGCATGAGCACCTATGCGCAATAGCCCAGTGCATACCTTCTTGACGTGGGCAACGTCGGCGGGTGTGCATTTTTGCGTGCTCGTCCCGAGCCCCGACGCCGCAGAGCCCACAAAGAAGCCGTGCTCCAAGCACGTCTTGACGTCGACGACGTCACGGAGCTACGCAACCAATCGAAAACTGGTCGTTCTCCTGCAGGGTGCTCCTACCCGAGCAAATCCTGGCACAGGATCTTCGACAGTGATCTCGTGAAGCGAGTCACTTGCCCTCGCTTCCGTCATAATGTGCGCCACGAGCCGCTCGCCGTGCCCTAGCAGACCGCATGAGCAATGTGTATTGGCTCGGAAGAGAAGAGGGACCCTGGCGCTGGTATGGCGGCAAGACGAGCACTTGGCAGATGCGCTTGGACGTCATCATGGCACGCTGCGGCAGGTTGAAGGTGAACATTGTAATGTATCCGAGAGGCGTATAGTCGCCGTCGTCCTCGCTGCGCTTGTGCACCATTGTGTAGAGAGACCAGCGCGCGTCCGAGACGTCAATGTCGTCGGCCCCTACGGACGTCGTCCATGCATGATCGCTGGAAGAAGCGAACGACCTTCGATGAACCAAAGCGACATCTTTTGCATCTTGTCCAAGTAGGCTTGCCCACGGGCGTCCAGCAGCGAGTAGGACGTCGCAAAGGCCTGCTCGTTGAAGCTGTAGCTCTGGACAAGAGCACCCGGTGGCGGGTACGAGGCGCCATCGGCGAGGATTTTGAGGAAAGTCGGCTTGTCCTGTGTGGCGCCGCTTGGCAGAGAGGGCTGCATCTTGGCAAAGAGATCCCACGCACTACAACCTACGGGTTCAGCGAGATGGCGACGTGGTCGAAGCGCCTACTCGTCGTCCTTGTAGTCGTACTGAATCTCAACGAGACAGTCGAACGTCTGCGCGGCAAAGGTGAGCTCGATGCGTAGACCCGTGTAGCCCTGAATGAGCTCGTCTTTGCCGAACGCGTGGTACGTGAAGGCGGGCGGAAAGGTCGGGCCATCACGCGCCGCAAGCTCGTCCGCGCTGCGCACTAAGATGGACAGCCGTTAGCGTAGATCATGTAGCATGAGGCTTCTTCACATACCAATGCACATGGTGATACAGTCGTTGGCGCTGCAGCTCGCCTCCAGTTTGGCCTTCTTGGCCGGCGGCGCGTCCACCTCCGCCATCGCACGTTTCAAAAGTTGCGTGCGTTTAACCTGAGACTACATATGCACCGCACACGTTGAAGCGGTACGACCCTACCTCGCCCTTCCCGTCTTTGCAACACCAGCAACAACCTCCTTCCTTATCCCAATGGCAGAAGTGGCGTCTCCTTCACAACGCTCGCGAACGCGCTCACCGTGTATGGGCCCTGCGGCGGCCGATTGACGGTGGCGTGGGATTAGACAGCGTCGCTTGCTACCCACTGATTGGCCAAAATGCAGTCGAAGCCCGCGAGATTCCACGAATCGTGTGATGCGGCGAGATGATTGGTCAAAAGGCCCGAGGATCTTCGAATCGGATCGAGTGGATGGCCAGTTGCGAACGACCGGTGTCGAAGCATCATGGGCCGGACTGCCGCCTTGAAGCGGGAGCCGACCGTGAAGCCCGAGCCCGACGAGCCCTCGGCGCCTGGCGGAGGCCTCGAGGACGAGGTCGGCCACGTGCAGAACAAGTGGCAGCTGCTGCCGTACTTTCTGCAGCTGCGCGGCCTCGTCAAGCAGCACATTGACTCGTTCGACTACTTTACCGAGGTCGACATGAAGAAGATCGTGCGCGCGCAGGCCAACAACACGATCCGGTCGGACCACGACCCCAAGTTCTTCCTCACGTACACGGACATCTCGGTGGGCACGCCCTCGATCGACGAGGACGCGTACCTGACGACGCCGGTGACGCCGCACCAGTGCCGCCTGCGCGACCGCACGTACTCGGCGCCGATCTACGTCTCGGTCAAGTACCGCCTTGGCACGAAGGTCGTGACGCGCAACAAGGTGACGATCGGCCGCATCCCGATCATGCTGCGCTCGGCGAAATGCGTGCTCAAGGAGAAGGGCGAGGCCGAGCTCGCGGCGCTCAAGGAGTGCCCGTACGACCCGGGTGGTTACTTTGTCGTCAAGGGCACGGAGAAGGTCGTGCTCATCCACGAGCAGCTCTCGAAGAACCGCGTGATCCTCGAAGAAGACGGCAAGAAGAACGTGTGCGCGTCCATTACGTCGTCAACGCACGAGCGCAAGTCGCGCACCAATATCTTCCTCAACAAGGGCAAGATCTACCTCAAGTCCAACTCGTTCACGGACGACCTCCCGATCGTGGTCGTCTTCCGCGGTATGGGCATGACGTCGGATCAAGAGATTGTGTCGCTCATTGGGCACGAGCCGGACGTGATGGACCACTTTGCGGCGTCGATCGAGGAGTCGTCGGACCTCAAGATCTTCACGCAGACGCAGGCGCTGCAGTACATTGCGACCAAGATGAAGCTGCGGACGGGCGCCAACCCGCTCGACGCGGCGCTCGACGGGCTCGCCAACGTGCTCAACCACATTCCGTGCGAAAACTTCAACTTCCGCATGAAGTGCATCTACGTGGCCCACATTGTGCGCCGCATCATCTTCACCGACAAGGACCGCACGCAGCTCGACGACAAGGACTACTACGGCAACAAGCGTCTCGAGCTCGGGGGCCAACTGCTCTCGCTCTTGTTTGAGGACCTCTTCAAGAAGTTCAACAGCGACCTCAAGCGCCAAGCGGACATGGTGCTCAACAAGCCCAACCGCGCGGCTGCCTTCGACATCCTCAAGTGCATCCGCACCGACACGATCACGTACGGCTTTATCCACTGCCTCTCGACCGGCAACTGGACGCTCAAGCGCTTCCGTATGGATCGGTCGGGCGTCACGCACGTGCTCTCGCGGCTCTCGTTCATGTCGGCGCTCGGCATGATGACGCGCATCTCGTCGCAGTTTGAAAAGACGCGCAAGGTGTCGGGGCCGCGCTCGCTGCAGCCGTCGCAGTGGGGCATGTTGTGTCCGGCCGACACGCCCGAAGGCGAAGCCTGCGGTCTCGTCAAGAACCTCGCGCTGCTCTGCCACGTGACGTCGGACGAAGAGCCGGAGCCGATCCGCCGTCTCTGCTTTGACCTGGGTGTCAACGACGTGTGCCTCTCGTCCGGCGAGGAGATCAACCACCCGACCACGTACCTCGTCATGCTCAACGGTATCATCATTGGCACGCACGTCAACCCGAAGCTGTTTGTGTCGCGCCTCCGCCGCATCCGTCGCGCGGGTCTCCTCGGCGAGTTTGTGTCGGTCATGATCCACGACGTGCAGCGCGTGGTCTACATTGCGTCGGACGGTGGCCGCGTCTGCCGCCCGCTTCTGCTCTTGGACCCCAAGACGCACCGCCCGCGGCTCACGCAGCGCCAGCTGAACGAGCTCCAAGCAGGCGTGCGGCCTATCTCGTCGCTCATCAAGGAAGGTGTCGTCGAGTACGTGGACGTGAACGAAGAGAACAACTGCCTCATTGCGCTGCACGAGCGGGACATTGATCCCAAGACGACGCACCTCGAGATCGATCCGGTCACGATCCTCGGCGTCGTCTCGGGGCTTATCCCGTACCCGCACCACAACCAGTCGCCGCGCAACACGTACCAGTGCGCCATGGGCAAGCAGGCGATTGGCACGATCGGGATGAACCAGTACGAGCGCATCGACACGCTGCTGTACACGATGGTGTACCCCCAAGCGCCGATGGTCAAGACGCGCGTCCTGGATCTGGTCAACTTCGACCAAGTGCCCGCGGGCCAGAACGCGACGGTCGCCGTCATGAGTTACTCTGGGTACGACATTGAAGATGCCATCGTGCTCAACAAGGCGTCGCTCGACCGCGGCTTTGGGCGCTGCATGGTCTTCAAGAAGTACCAGACGATCGTCAAGCGGTACCCGAACAACACGTACGACCGCATTGTGGGCCCTCCGGACTTTGAAGGCGCGGGCTTTGCGACCTCGTTCCGCAACCAGCGGTACGCGTCGCTAGACGCGGACGGCATTTGCCGCGTCGGTGGCCAAGTGGTCTCGAGCGGCATCCTCATCAACAAGGAGTCGCCGGCCAACGTCGACTTGACGACCGAGTCGCCGGACGTATCGTACAAGCCGTCGCCCGTCTCGTACAAGAACTCGGTGCCGGGCTACATCGACAAGGTCATGCTCACGTCGTCCGAGTCGGACCAGTTTCTCATCAAGGTGCTCATCCGCCAAACGCGCCGGCCCGAGATCGGCGACAAGTTTTCCAGTCGCCACGGGCAGAAGGGTGTCTGCGGGACCATTCGCCAGCAGGTATGTTGCGTGTTCGATTGCTTGTGTCTGTGCATTTTTGTGTATACCGACGTTTTATATTGGGGGCGACTGCTTTTACACTCGGTCGTCTTCAGTCGGACGTCGGAAAACTGATTTGGCAACTTTAAACCATCCCTCGACTGCCGTGTCCTGCGGATGACCTGTCTCTCTGCCACATTCTTCTGTAGTTAGTCGACTCTGTAGTAGTTAGTCGACTCTATATTTGCATTTTACGTCTTCGCCGATATCCAAAGTAGCACCGCCTCTGAACCATGGCGGTGCGAAGGACATGTAGCGGCAAAGCGATCCAGCGAATCCAAACCAATGCGACTCTCTCTGTGGGCTGCCATTGACCTGTCTCAGCGCTACATTCGTCGCTAGTCTTTTCTATGTATTCTCTACCGACGTTTTATATTGGGGGCGACTGCTTTCACACTCGGTCGTCTTCAGTCGGACGTCGGAAAAACGATTTGGCAACTTTAAACCATCCCTCGACTGCCGTGTCCTGCGGATGACCTGTCTCTCTGCCACATGTCCATCTAGATTTTATATGTATTTTCGCGGATTAAAAGTCGATGACCACTCGTTGCTTGGACGTCGATAGTTGCCCCGCGACAGAGCAATGTCTTCGGCCTTGCACTTGAGTCGTGTCGGCGCTGCTGCTTGCTCTCCATAGCAACAGCACCGCGTGGCTGCTCGAGGTCGACATGTCTTTTTTTGCATGAAGTTTCAATGTTTCAACTCCCATGAACGCATATTCATGACGCCTTCGCAATTAGGAGGACATGCCGTTCAACGACATTGGCATGTGCCCGGACCTTATCATGAACCCGCACGGTTTCCCCAGTCGCATGACGGTCGGCAAGATGATCGAGCTCGTGGCCGGCAAGGCCGGCGTCCTCAGCGGCCGGCGCGCGTACGGCACGGCCTTTGGCGAAGACTATGGCAGCGCCGACAAGGTGCTCGACTGCTCGCGCGAGCTCGTCGGCCATGGCTTCAACTACGCGGGCAAGGACTATCTGACGTCGGGCGTGACGGGCGAGCCGATTCTGTGCTACATCTTCATGGGCCCTATTTACTACCAAAAGCTCAAGCACATGGTCATGGACAAGATGCACGCCCGCGCGCGCGGCCCCCGCGCCGTGCTCACGCGGCAGCCGACGGAAGGTCGCGCCCGCGACGGCGGTCTGCGTCTCGGCGAGATGGAGCGCGACTGTCTGATCGGCTACGGCGCGAGCATGCTCTTGCTGGAGCGGCTCATGCTGAGCTCGGACGCGTTCACGGCCAACGTGTGCCAGGGCTGCCAGATGCTGGGCTACGAAGGCTGGTGCCAGTACTGCAAGTCGGAAGAGAAGGTGGTCGAGATCCGCATCCCGTATGCGTGTAAATTATTGTTCCAGGAGCTGCAAGCGATGAACATTGCGCCCCGCCTGACCTTGCAAGAGTACTAACCACCCTCTTCTCTCATCAATGAACACCCTGTGCTATTATTACTCCTTCGCTTCTCTATCTTGCTCTGCTCTCCTTCTCCGTCGTCGTCTTCGCACAGACATGACTGCGGGGAGGCCGGTCATCCACCGTTTCATTTCGGACGTGTATCAGTGGAAGATGGTTGCTCTTAAGCGAGATGTCCGCTTCGGGTGCTCCTAAAGCTGTCGCCAATGTTTGGCGAGACGGCATCGCTTGGTACGTACTACGGATACTGCGGTTCCGAGCATGCCGACGCTGGCCACCGAAGAAGACGCGACGCACTTTGATCTCGTGAGCGCCGGTCCTCGACGAGCTGTATTCTCGTTTGATGCCGGTCCGAACGGTGGCATGCCAACGTTGCACATCGTCGAGACCCTATCCCTGGCTTCAAGCACATACAAATAATGTCATTCTTTATGTTGTCAACTAGCATTTGGACGTCTCAATCAACCAATCTAACCCTTGACGCCAAAGCACCAAGGCAACCTTCCAATGTACTGCGCTCACAGCGCTTGTTGTTTGCCTACTTTCCATCAACGAGTCGATTCAAGTCGCCAACGACCGCAATGGCAGCCGACGCAAAGGCTCATGGGCAACGTCAAGGTCGACTGAACTACGATGGGAAAAGCGATCGAACGCTTCTCGACACTCTACGCTCATATTGCATCTCTTCCTCGCGACTACGATCCTCTTCAGCATGCAACCTCTCTCGCAAACCAACTCGCTCGTCGTCACCGTGCTCGCGGTGGACCTCGACCAGTTTGCCGCCACGGTCGTCTCGACCAAGCTCCGTCTCGTCTGCGGCTCCCAGCGCGAGACACTCAAGTCCAAGGACGTCGCTCAATGGGGCGCCGCCGTCGAGTTTCTTCCGCCTGTCGATACCATCAGCATCAGTGTGCACATCAAAGACGCAGCTGCGTGCCTGTGCAGCGGGTACGACGTCTTTGGAACAACGTCGATTCCGCTGTCGTCGCTCAACTGCACCACCAACGGTATCGATATTAGACGCTCTCTTGTGATGCGATCATCTCTTGGCGTAGGCGAAGGCTTCTTCCCTTTTGCGCACGGCCACGGCGGCGTGCGCCTTGCGTTCGAGTGGAGCGCCGACGTCGCGCCGTGCAGCCGCGTGCATTTGCCGTGGCGGCGTCACGCGCACTGCGCCGACTGCAACGCGCCCGTGTGCAAGCACTGCAGCTTTCCGAGCGACCGCAGTGGCGTCGCCTGCCGGGCCTGCGTGGCCGCCAAGCGAACCCTCGTGCTCTCGCCCATCACCTCGGACACGACGTTCGAGACCGACTCGGACGACGTCATTGCACCGCTCTCGGTCCCAAAGCCGGCAGACGACGACCAAGTCTCGGATTTCCAAGTCGTTGGCACAATGGATTCGGTACGAACGCGCGTGATTGGCTGACGCGGAATATCGAACGCTCTTTGTAGGTGATTGTGGTGCAAAAGACGCATGGGTCGGACGCCGGGACCATGTACGCGCTGCGCCCGACGCTCAAGACGCCGGCGTCGCTGCCAGGCTTAGTCTGCGCCAAGGCCGTCGTCGAGGCCTTTGACCATCCCAATGTGCTCGCACCACTCTATCTTTTTCAGACTGCGACGACGGCGTACGAGGTCACCTCGACGGCAGCGCGACAGCCGCTCTCGACACTCCTCGGCGGCGTCGACGAGATTGAAGGCGCACAGCTCCTCGCGCGAGTCCTCGCCGGCCTCGCGCACGTCCATGCCCGCGGCTACGTGCACGGCGCCGTCTCTTCGACGAACGTGCTTCTCGGCCACGACGGCACGGTTGTCCTCGCTGGCTTTGAATACGTGACGCCACTCGCCAACGACGGCGCGATCGTCGACTGGCACGCGTTTGGCCTCTTGGTGTACCAGCTCTTTGTCGGCGCCGGGCCGCTCACCGAAGACACGTTTCTCACCGACGCGACGTGCCGGCAACACGGCTTGCCGCAAACCGGTCGCGACATCTGCCTTGCGTACGTTCTCGTCTTTTGGATATCTCTGTAGCTCATACTATATCTGAGTAGCTTGCTCTCGGCAACGGAGAAGAGCGTAGCGATCGACTTTATGGCGAGCGACTTCTTCTTTGGCGTCGACTGGACGAGCCTCGACACGACGCCAGTGCCACACCCAAGCGACGCGCCGCAGCTCGACGACGTCCCGACCGACGCGTTTGACCTGGCGCTGCTCCAAGCCCGCGTCTTTGCCAACGACCCAGACGTCTGGCCGCTGCACATTCCAGCTTACGCCTACGCCCGCGCCACCACGGTCGGCGGCAGCGATTTTGACGTTCTTGGCCACATGACGACACCGACACGCGACCAGGTCCTACCTACTACGATCGTACTTGCGAGTGCTCACCACATGTACTTGTGTAGGTGCATCTCGTGCAAAAGATGACGGGCACCGACGCGGGTGCCCACTACGCCCTGCAGTCCATCGCCAAGGCGACGGCGCAACCGCCGGCCGTGGACGTGTCGTCGTTGCGCCATGCGACCTTGGTGCCGACGTTGTACCGGTTCCAGAACCGCTCGACCGCGTTTGTCGTGACGCCGATTCTCCGCGGCCACACGCTGCGCTCGATCCAGACGACGGGACTGGACGAGCGCGAAGTCGCGTGGTACTTGGCCCAGGTGTTCCTCGGCCTCGCCTACCTCCACGAGAACGGCGTCGCGCACGGGTCTCTCTCGCTCGAGACTGTCGTCGTCACGGACAACGCCACCGCCGTCTTCGCTCGCACCGAGTCGTTTGTGCCGCTCACTGCCGCGACGCGCAGAGCCGACCCTATCGCCTTTGGCGACCTCCTCACTAACCTCCTCACCGACAAGACCAGCCTCTCGGACGCTGCCATCGACCTCCTCTCTGCGTACGTCCATCTTTGAATCTCCATCGATCTTCGGAGGAAAGACGCCTCATGGCATATGTAGCTACACCAGCGGCACGACCATCGATGTGGGCCACAGTCTCTTCTTCAGCTGGATCACATGGGACCTCATGTGCTTGGACGCATTCCATTCGGATACGTCGCGGCCGATCGGGCGCTTTCTCAGCGCTGATAACGGCCGAGCTTGCACCACCTTTGAAGACGACTTTGCTTCCCCACGCGTTCACTGGCCACGCTACGTGTACCCACCGCTGCCACCGCCAACGTCCACGACTGTTGGGTCGTAGAGCACGCTTTGTCCGAGTTATTGTACTAACTGAGTCCTTCTTGTCAACGAAACTGAGTTCTTGGTGATGCGAGTCGGCCTAGTTAGTATGTCACCGTACCCTATGCCCTTCATTTAGTCGACTGCGTGGGGCCACAGTCGCAAATGTATGACTGATCTATGAACTGAGCAAAGATCGTTGCGCATCCGGATGCCGTACCTTCAAGTTGACGCACTCTGAGTGCGCACGCCAAATATCAAGTGGAAAGTGAGCGCGGAAATCGCGAGGCCCAAGTTCGCAGCTCGACATATCCGGACAAAACACATCTTGCGATGGCGGACGAAGTGTGGGAGATCGCGCCGGGGAAGAAGCTCGGGCCGTTCAGCCTCGGTGCCACCGTCGCCGACGTCCTCTTCCTCCTCAAGGTCCGACCTCATGCAGCCTCATGGAGGTAGCCTCATGGACGCGTAGAAGCGAACGCCATGCCGGGCCATCGAGGTGCCACCGACCTGCTCCATGGCACCTTCATGTACAGGCGGCCGTGTAGATCGTCTACTGCGAGGACGCGCCGTTCGAAATGGCCATGGTTGTCGACTCGCCCGACGATGGCGTCAAGGTACGGACGCAGCGCCGCCGGCGTCGTCGTCTCATGCTTGCTTAGTTTACCTTTGACGCAATCACGCAGCTCCTCTTGGCGATCGAAGTCTACGCGGTGAACCTCGTCGCGATGCGCTACCACAGCGAAGTCGTCTTTGGAAAAGACCGGTCGCCGACCTTCCTCTCCATCTACCAGGTGGTTGCACTCAACCTCGTCGTGCTCATGATGCTTCTTGCAGCTCTTTGGGCCAACGTACCCTGGTACCTTTGACGCCACGAGCAGCGTACTGCTCTTTCTTCATAGCATCTACGGAACCTCAGCGTACGTCATGGAATATAGGTCTACGCGCTGGGCTACCCAGGCGCGAGCTTCCTCTTTCCGATTCCATCGCAGTACAAGGCGCTGTACGCGACAAAGGAGACGCTGCCAATGGAGCTGCCGGTGCGATGTCCATCAAGACTACCTAGTAGATCGATGTCGATAGAACGGCGCGACGCCCGCTGCGATTGGCTTTTCCATCTTTTGCGGCTCGGACAGCTCGGCGCCCGAGCCACCACTGCCCCTCAAGCCGTACCACGATCCGCGCATCAGCGATATCTACCTGTTTCTTCCTAGGTTGTACTTTGAGGAGGTCGTCGTTCGAGCCGCGGTGAACGAGCCCCCTGTGCTTCTCTTTACGAAGAGCAAGCGCACGGTCCGCCTCGGAGCTACGCCACAGGTATACGCTCCTGCACCACGAAGTCTTTGCAAGAGATGGCGAGGTAGGATGTGGCGAGCGAGTTAGGGCCGCCGTTCTCGACGTACTACAAGACGGTGCTGGAGCACGCCACGTATAAATGCACTGCATTTCGGGAGACGACTGAGGATTCTGGCGTAGCGTGACGGGCGAGTATTTTCAAAACTACCCCGACCTCGGCCTCGACCTGCTCTTTACGCCCGAACACACGGTCGCCAAAGCGATTCTACGCACCAACGTCCCTGGGTAGTCTTGCTCGATGCATTTCTTACCTGCATCTCGGTACTCGTAGCCACTCGGAGTTCAACGCGTACGCAAAGTGCAACTTTCGCCTCGAGCAGCTCTCGACTGACCCGGCGTTCCCGACGTTGACGCCACAGACCTCGGTACTGCTTCGGGCAATGACAGCAGAGATCTGACCCCACGACAACGAGTAGTGGCCGACGATCCAAGCCGCGATGGGTACAGACGCTGTGTTTCGCCCGACCGTGCACGACAACGGGTCGGCCGCCGACCCCTTCGGCGCCTCCTTCTTGTACACGCTCTTTCCTGGCTGCGTCCTCGAGGTCTTTTGCTCTTGTCATGGGACGCTCCATAGTGTTGTCGTAGGTGCTCCAGAACGGCGCAATTGCAAGCGTGACGCTAGCGACGTCGTTCCGCCAACGCTAACCCGACGATGCGATCAAAGGGATTTATATAGGGCCACGTTAGTTTCTAGTTGCGGTAATGGTAGGGATCGTCCTGCGGTGGACGGGGCGGGAATTGCTGATAGTACGGCGGCGGTGGGCCTTGCTGGTGCCACGGCCCGGGATGGTCGGGGTGCATGGGGCGCCCGGGAGGTCCCGGGAACGGCCCAGGGTGGTGATGCGGCGGCATGTTGTGTGGAGGTGGGCCTTGGTGGTGATGGTGGGGAGGACCTTGCGGGTGTTGATGGTGGTGCGGCGGGTAGCCTCCGCCCTGGGGCGGGTACCCATACCCCGGCGGCGGCTGCTCAAAATACCCGCGCGGCGGCGGCTCGAAATATCCAGGCGGTGGCGCGTGGTGGTGTTGGTGCGGAGGAAACTGCGGGTGGTGCGGGTGCGGCGGGAACTGCGGCGGGAAAAAATGGGGCCGTGGCGGTCCTTGATGGTGGGTATGGCCCGGAGGTCCTTGGTGAGGATGGCCCGGGGGACCCCGGCCGCCGCCGTGCGGTTGCTGCGGCCGCACCTTGGGCGTAGCGTCCGGGTTGTGCTTGCGCTTGGTCGCCTTGAGCTTGCGTCGGGCCTCGGCCTCGGCCTCGTCGTCGGAGAACTCCATTTCCTCGGCGCCAACTTCCTCGTCGTACAAGTTGGAGGCGTCGGTGCCCTTGATGTTGAGCTTGGATGTCTCGACGTAGGTTGCGTGCTGCGTCGTGTAGAAGACAGCGGCTTGGAGCGCGACAGACTCGGGAATGTCCTCGGGCGTCTCGAAGCGAATGAGGTACATGGGCAGCTTGACCTGGCCAAACACCTCGTCGACGCAGCCGAGGACCACGCGGCTCTGGAGACACAAGACACTGCCTTCGTCCAAGATGGCTTGGTGCGGGTGGCCCTGGATCGTGATTGACGGACCCGCACGGTTGATGTTGAGCACGTAGCCCATGCGGTCGATGGGGCAGTCGGACGTGAGTTGCACGTCGGCCTTCTTCACAGGCACCTTCTGCACCTCGTGCACCGTCGCTACGGGGCCAGCGATCAAGCTCGTGTGCTCGTCGCGCTTGAGCGCCGCCTCGATTTCGATGCGCAGCTTGCCCGTGTCTTCGTCGTCGCTGTCGTCAGGCTCGCTGTCGTCGGCCATGCTCGCATCGTCACTGCTCGACGAGGACGGCGACGACGGCGCCGTCTCTGCACCCGCAGCAAGCTCTGCTGCGTGCACGACCGGCGCAAGGACCGGCGCCGGTGCTGTCAACGGAGTCGGCGGGACGTCCTCCATGTCGGCGACTTCGCCGTCTTCGAGGTCCATCGCCACATCGACGGCGGCGACGGCCAGCGGCGCCAGGAGCGGCGCGATCTCCGGGTCCACGACGTCCGAGACGTCGACGCCCGCGTAGCTCGCTGCGACCAAGACGTCCATCAGATCTCCAATCTTATTCGATGTGGTGGTGGATCTCGGGGCTCGCAAATTTCATTGGTTTACAAACATCCGGATAATGTGGTATATCCGAAAAGATTAGCTCGCATGGTCACGGCGCTGCAGCTCGCGATGGAGCTCGACGCTCTTGACAATGACAAGCTCGAGCTTCGGGCAGCCGTGCAGCACGAGCGATAGGGCGTCGACGACGGCGCCGAGGAGGCGGTTGCCGTTGATATCGATGAGGATCTTGGAGCAGCGCGACGCGATCGCCAGCAGTTCGTTAGTCGATCGAAAGATGTCCATTTCGATGAAGTGGCACTGCGGGTGCGACACCTTGGCGACGGCGATCGAGTCGGCCGACTTGTCGATACCCGTGACGTTCTCGAAGCCGACGGTCTCCGCAATGATCTCGACGGTCGGGCCGAGGTCGCAGCCAATCTCGAGTACGACATCGCTCGCGTCGATCTGCGTGCGCGCGAGCCGCCGGTAGTGTGACGTCTCGGCCGTGACGAGGACGCCAGTGGCCGCATTCACCCGCCGAAGGAGCTGCGGCGTCAAGCGCGACGGCAGCGCGTGGTACGTAGAGCCGTCTGCGTACGCGATCTTGACGCGGCCCGGAAACGCTGTCGGCGCCGTGTCGACCACGCGGGCGCGGGCAAAGAGGCGGCCCGTCGACGCCCCTTGGCGCGCGCTGTCGGCCTCGCCGCCCTTGGCCTTGCCATTGCTGACCGAGACGTAGACTAGGTCGTCCGCAATGAACGAGTCGCATGTGAAGGGCGTCGGGCGCGGGTACAGCTGCATCGGGAACTGCGCTGTGAGCGCGTCGAGGGCGCCGAGGGTCGCAGCGCTCGCCATGCGTCTTGTGCAAAATTGCCGTCCGTCATCCGGATACGCGACCGAAGAACGTTCCGCGGTTGGTTCCTTGGAGCGTTCCGGGATCCAACGCTGAATCCGAATCTCAATCTCAATCCAAAATCGCTCTAAGATCGTAGTCTGCTCGCAAGTACAATACATGCATTTTCACGAGGTTTCGTTGTCCTAGTCCTTCTTGGCGGGCGCCTTGTGGTCGTCAGCAGTCAAGCACTGGACTTGGTCGAGGAGGTAGCTCAAGTCAAAGGCCTTCTCGCGCAGGTAGTGGTAGCGGTCGCTGGCGCTAAAGTGGCCGGACGTCAAATCCATCTTGAGGAGCACGTTGTTGCTGTCCGTCTTGCGCTCACGGAGGCGCGCGACCCACTTGGTCGGCTCCCAATACGCGACGCGCGGGTCAAAGAGGCCCGACGTCACGAGCATGTTGGGGTACGCCTGCGCCTTGACGTTCTCGTACGGCGAGTAGCTGAGCATGTACGAAAAGTACTTGGACTCGTTCGGGTTGCCCCACTCTTCCCACTCGCCCGTCGTGAGCGGAATCGTCGCGTCGCTCATCGTGTTCATCACGTCGACGAACGGGACGCCGGCAATCGCGGCCTGGAAGAGGTCCGGGCGCATGTTGAGGACGGCGCCCATGAGGAGACCGCCCGCCGACCGGCCTTCGCACGTCAGAAGCGCCGGGCGCGTCATCTCGGTCTTGACGAGGTGCTCGGCGCAGTTGACAAAGTCGGAGAACGTCTTGGCCTTGGTGAGGTACTTGGCGTCTTCGTACCACGTGCGGCCCATCTCGCCGCCGCCACGAATGTGCGCAATGACGTAGATGACGCCACGGTCGAGCAGCGGCAGCGTCGTCGCTGTGAACGTCGGGTCGATGCAGATCTCGTACGAGCCATACCCGTACAAGTGCAACGGCTGCGGCGTCCCGGGCGTGCGCTTGTCCTTGCGGTACACGAGCGACATGGGGATCTTGGTGCCGTCCTCGGCCGCCGCCTCGATGCGCTCGCACGCGTAGAGCGACCGGTCGTAGTTGGGCACCGGGCGCTCCTTGAGCAGCGTCATCTTCTGCGTCGCAATGTCATAGTCGTACGTTGTGTACGGCGTCGTCGGCGACGAGTACGTGAGGCGGTACGTCTTCGTGCTGTACTCCTTGTTGGGCGCGCCGCTGATCGTGTAGATCGGGTCCGAGAACACCATGCGCGTCTTGGTGAAGCTCTCGCCGTCGGGCGTGAGGATCCAGCGCTGCGTGAAGCCGTTCTGGCGGCCATGGAGCACCAGAAACGTCTCAAAGCAGTCGACGCCATCGACCTTGACCGACGGGTCGTACGGGAAGACGTCCTTCCAGTGCGCGGCCGACGGCGTCGACACGTCTGTCATCATGAGCTTGAAGTTGACTGCGCCGTCCTTGTTGGTCTCGATAAAGAAGCTCGAGCCGTGGTGGTCGACGGCGTAGTCGACGCCCTTGACGCGCTTCTCGACGAGCGTCACGCCCTTCTCCGGCGCCTTCAAGTCGATGAACGACACCTCGGACGTCTCGCTGCTCGACGACTGCAAGAGAAGGTACCGGCCGCTGCGCGTCTTGCCCATGTACGCCGAGAAGAGCGGGTCGTTCTCCGTGTACAAGAGCTCGTCCTTGGCTGTTGCGCCCACCGTGTGGCGCCAGATCTTGTCCTGGCGGTGCGCGTCGTCCATCGTCGAGTAGTAGAGCGTCGTCGCGTCGCTGCCCCACACGAGGCCGCCCGAGACGTTCTCGATGCGGTCGGCGAGGATCTCACCCGTCCGAAGGTTCTTGACAAAGCCTTGGTACGTCTCGTAGCCGTTGAAGTCGACGCTGTACGCGAGGAACTGGTGGTCGGGGCTCACAGAGACAGCACCCACGTCGCAGTGGCTCTGGCCCTTGGCGAGCTCGTTCTCGTCCAGGATAAGCTCCTCGACAGCGTTCGGGTCGTTGCGGCCCTTGCGGCAGTGGTACGTGTAGCTGCTGCCCTTCTCGGTGCGCGTGTAGTAGAGGTAGTCGCCGTGCGGGTACGGGTACGCGGCGTCCGTCTCTTGCACGTGCGAGAGCAGCTCGTGGTACAAGTTCTCACGCGCGTTCGTCAAGTGGCTCGTCATGTGCTCCGTGTACGCGTTCTCTTGCTCGAGGTGCGCAATGACCTCCTTGTTCTTGCGCGTGTCGTCGCGGACGTAGTAGTACGGGTCCTCAATGTACAAGATCGGGTCCATCGGGTTCTCGCCGCGGTTCTCGCCCAGCACGTTGCCAAAGGGCACCATGTGCGGCTTCTTGGCCAGCACCGGCGGTGTGCGCTTCGCCTGGTCCAGCGCCGTCCTACAGTCTGGCATGAGCGCGATGATGATGCACTGCCACGTACTTGTAGAGGCCTCGGCGCGCGCGCACCGCGTACATGCCCAGCGAGAGGAGGCCCACGCCGACGCCCAAGCCCGTGCTGCGTTGCATCTTGTCGGTGAAGTCGGAAAATGGACGGGACCACCGCTCGTTCCACGCATCATCCGGATACGCGGCCAGCTGCGCCGGATACTGAGCCAGGCGCGATCTTGAGGTGTCGTTGCTGGGCCTGTCTGACCAACCAGCAACGGATGCTTGAGGCCATGGCGGCGACG